AGCTGCAATCCGGTATACAAAACACTACATAACTTTAAAGGGTCACCATTTCTGCAGTAATTATTTTTTTCTGATTCTGTATTATAATAATGTTGCAAAAATAAATGTGAAGCTATAAAGAAAAGAATTTTGATGATATATGAACTTATAAAACCATATAGGAGGCAGACCACCATTAAATTTCATCATCTCGGTACCCACGAATTGTAGTTCGTCTATTTATAGCAATTCTCTCTCTCTCTCTTTTCTCCCCTTTTGCATGCCCATTTGTGTTGATTTTTTGGTCTAGAATGGATGAAGAGGGTTTGAATTAACATTTTCTGCCAGGTTTTGGTAAATATTCATGATTTTGAGGCGGAAGGATAAGAGGGTTATCAGGTTAGCTACGGCGATATGTACGGCAACTAGTTACATGTTTTTAGTATGCTTCTTCAAGTTTGTGTATCTCCAAATTTTGGTGGTCAACCTCATACAAATTTTAGTGCAAAGACATGACCATTTGTTCCTCTGTCTGTAGTGGAAAGCATCCAGCCCAACGAAAATTTGGGGAAAAGTTGGAGGTGGGCAAAGAGGCCAGAATTAACATTGAAGTCAATGGGGAAATTAATGGTGGTCTGCCTCCTATATGAAAACAACCTGACAGTGGATGAAAGGCCTAAATTTGATGATATGATCTCCAAATTGTCAGAAAATGTGATATATGGCATTTTGATAGTAAAAAATGTGAAATGGTAAAATTTCAAAAATATTTGACAAATTTGGGAGGGGAAATTTTGATTTTAGTCAAAATTTTGTGATTTTCAGTGTTTATTTACTTTTCAAAATTAGTGGAAAATATTTTAATGTATGATTTTTACTTTTTCTGCATTATAATTGTTAGACGGGAAGAAAGTATCATAATTTCACTCAATTTTGCCTAAAAATCATGATAAATTGTCTGAAATTCTTCAGATTACCCCCAATATTGCTGTCAAAATTTTAATTATTCATCTGTTGTAAAATGAACCAAAATGTCTTGCATGTCTTTATTTTCATTGTTAAATAACTTGGCAAGGATCCATGTGTTTGTCAGATATTGAAAAAGTATTCATGTGTTTGTCAAAAATTTAAAAATTAAGAAATTTAGTCTAATTATGTTCTGCTTAGGTGTGTTAGAATTTTCAAAACATGAGTGAACTGCATTTTGCTGCTGTTTTCCTCAGGCTTAACACAATTTTAATCTTTCAAAACCTGAAATTGTTGCATTTCCCTTCTCGAGAAAGTAAAATCTATGTGTTTGCAGGGAAATTTCTCTGTCTTCATTTCGTTTAGACTGGCTCACCCTCCCCACCCCACCCCTTTTCTTGAAGATGATATTTGGATATTCAATTGAACATTTGTTGACTCCAAATTAGCAGTAATCTGATTTTGTGCTTGAATTGTAACCGAGCATTTTATTTGACACAAACAAATAGTTACATATAAGATTTCAAGGATTTCTAAGACTTTTTGTTTATGGTCAAACATGTAATCCTATGACATTTCTTCCAAATGAGTCCACACCCCAAAATGGATATGTTGTAGATGTGTTTTTTGCAGCTTAATGTTTTACATTTTGAATGTAAATCTATTATTTGTGGTGATCTTTGAAAATGTGGCACTTACAGGGCAATAAAATATTAATTAATAGTCTTTTCATACCCCTTTTATGCTTTGAATTATGTCAGAACTCCCTTTTTCCATCTCATTTTGTCAGGACATTGATGTAAAGATTAAAACAACTTGCTTCCACATAATATTTACACTATGTAATTTCAAGGATACCTCTGATTGTTAAAGTATTTTAAAAACTGAAATATTCCCATTTTTAAAAAAAAAAATAGTGCTTTGCGACCCTTTTATTAGAGTGGCTGGTTGTCACCTAAATACAGCATTTATTTTACATTTATCAATCCATATTTTAATAAATAATTCATACTTCTTATAACAAACTGTGTTTATATGTATGTATATAAGCCAGGGATAGAAGAACATGGCTTTTAGCCATATTCCATCAACAGTATTACTTATGTGGACACAAGTGGGATTTGTTACCACACCAACATTTTTAGGGGGTGGGCTTACAGGTTTCACTATAGTTCCTTACAGTTACCTTCAATGCAACAAATTTGCAGCTTGTCTTCCTGTATACCGGCCAAGGTTTCTAGAAATAAATGCTTTTCATCTCAGACTTTCCCAGAAATAGGGAAATATTAGCATTTTGAGGTATACAAAGTGTCAAAAATGGACCATTTTGTAGAAAAAGGTAAAAGAAAGTCAATTTTTGAAAAATATTCCAATATTTTGAATATTTTTGATGTGACTTGTCTGAAACTCTTTAAATCTTTTCGCAGAACTCACATTTTGATAAAATTAAGAAAGAATCTTCAATTCTAGAACAAAAGGCCCATGGACCTGAGCTGCAATCCGGTATACAAAACACTACATAACTTTAAAGGGTCACCATTTCTGCAGTAATTATTTTTTTCTGATTCTGTATTATAATAATGTTGCAAAAATAAATGTGAAGCTATAAAGAAAAGAATTTTGATGATATATGAACTTATAAAACCATATAGGAGGCAGACCACCATTAAATTTCATCATCTCGGTACCCACGAATTGTAGTTCGTCTATTTATAGCAATTCTCTCTCTCTCTCTTTTCTCCCCTTTTGCATGCCCATTTGTGTTGATTTTTTGGTCTAGAATGGATGAAGAGGGTTTGAATTAACATTTTCTGCCAGGTTTTGGTAAATATTCATGATTTTGAGGCGGAAGGATAAGAGGGTTATCAGGTTAGCTACGGCGATATGTACGGCAACTAGTTACATGTTTTTAGTATGCTTCTTCAAGTTTGTGTATCTCCAAATTTTGGTGGTCAACCTCATACAAATTTTAGTGCAAAGACATGACCATTTGTTCCTCTGTCTGTAGTGGAAAGCATCCAGCCCAACGAAAATTTGGGGAAAAGTTGGAGGTGGGCAAAGAGGCCAGAATTAACATTGAAGTCAATGGGGAAATTAATGGTGGTCTGCCTCCTATATGAAAACAACCTGACAGTGGATGAAAGGCCTAAATTTGATGATATGATCTCCAAATTGTCAGAAAATGTGATATATGGCATTTTGATAGTAAAAAATGTGAAATGGTAAAATTTCAAAAATATTTGACAAATTTGGGAGGGGAAATTTTGATTTTAGTCAAAATTTTGTGATTTTCAGTGTTTATTTACTTTTCAAAATTAGTGGAAAATATTTTAATGTATGATTTTTACTTTTTCTGCATTATAATTGTTAGACGGGAAGAAAGTATCATAATTTCACTCAATTTTGCCTAAAAATCATGATAAATTGTCTGAAATTCTTCAGATTACCCCCAATATTGCTGTCAAAATTTTAATTATTCATCTGTTGTAAAATGAACCAAAATGTCTTGCATGTCTTTATTTTCATTGTTAAATAACTTGGCAAGGATCCATGTGTTTGTCAGATATTGAAAAAGTATTCATGTGTTTGTCAAAAATTTAAAAATTAAGAAATTTAGTCTAATTATGTTCTGCTTAGGTGTGTTAGAATTTTCAAAACATGAGTGAACTGCATTTTGCTGCTGTTTTCCTCAGGCTTAACACAATTTTAATCTTTCAAAACCTGAAATTGTTGCATTTCCCTTCTCGAGAAAGTAAAATCTATGTGTTTGCAGGGAAATTTCTCTGTCTTCATTTCGTTTAGACTGGCTCACCCTCCCCACCCCACCCCACCCCTTTTCTTGAAGATGATATTTGGATATTCAATTGAACATTTGTTGACTCCAAATTAGCAGTAATCTGATTTTGTGCTTGAATTGTAACCGAGCATTTTATTTGACACAAACAAATAGTTACATATAAGATTTCAAGGATTTCTAAGACTTTTTGTTTATGGTCAAACATGTAATCCTATGACATTTCTTCCAAATGAGTCCACACCCCAAAATGGATATGTTGTAGATGTGTTTTTTGCAGCTTAATGTTTTACATTTTGAATGTAAATCTATTATTTGTGGTGATCTTTGAAAATGTGGCACTTACAGGGCAATAAAATATTAATTAATAGTCTTTTCATACCCCTTTTATGCTTTGAATTATGTCAGAACTCCCTTTTTCCATCTCATTTTGTCAGGACATTGATGTAAAGATTAAAACAACTTGCTTCCACATAATATTTACACTATGTAATTTCAAGGATACCTCTGATTGTTAAAGTATTTTAAAAACTGAAATATTCCCATTTTTAAAAAAAAAAATAGTGCTTTGCGACCCTTTTATTAGAGTGGCTGGTTGTCACCTAAATACAGCATTTATTTTACATTTATCAATCCATATTTTAATAAATAATTCATACTTCTTATAACAAACTGTGTTTATATGTATGTATATAAGCCAGGGATAGAAGAACATGGCTTTTAGCCATATTCCATCAACAGTATTACTTATGTGGACACAAGTGGGATTTGTTACCACACCAACATTTTTAGGGGGTGGGCTTACAGGTTTCACTATAGTTCCTTACAGTTACCTTCAATGCAACAAATTTGCAGCTTGTCTTCCTGTATACCGGCCAAGGTTTCTAGAAATAAATGCTTTTCATCTCAGACTTTCCCAGAAATAGGGAAATATTAGCATTTTGAGGTATACAAAGTGTCAAAAATGGACCATTTTGTAGAAAAAGGTAAAAGAAAGTCAATTTTTGAAAAATATTCCAATATTTTGAATATTTTTGATGTGACTTGTCTGAAACTCTTTAAATCTTTTCGCAGAACTCACATTTTGATAAAATTAAGAAAGAATCTTCAATTCTAGAACAAAAGGCCCATGGACCTGAGCTGCAATCCGGTATACAAAACACTACATAACTTTAAAGGGTCACCATTTCTGCAGTAATTATTTTTTTCTGATTCTGTATTATAATAATGTTGCAAAAATAAATGTGAAGCTATAAAGAAAAGAATTTTGATGATATATGAACTTATAAAACCATATAGGAGGCAGACCACCATTAAATTTCATCATCTCGGTACCCACGAATTGTAGTTCGTCTATTTATAGCAATTCTCTCTCTCTCTCTTTTCTCCCCTTTTGCATGCCCATTTGTGTTGATTTTTTGGTCTAGAATGGATGAAGAGGGTTTGAATTAACATTTTCTGCCAGGTTTTGGTAAATATTCATGATTTTGAGGCGGAAGGATAAGAGGGTTATCAGGTTAGCTACGGCGATATGTACGGCAACTAGTTACATGTTTTTAGTATGCTTCTTCAAGTTTGTGTATCTCCAAATTTTGGTGGTCAACCTCATACAAATTTTAGTGCAAAGACATGACCATTTGTTCCTCTGTCTGTAGTGGAAAGCATCCAGCCCAACGAAAATTTGGGGAAAAGTTGGAGGTGGGCAAAGAGGCCAGAATTAACATTGAAGTCAATGGGGAAATTAATGGTGGTCTGCCTCCAAATGATTTGAAGACTAAGGGGAGATAATCAACCTTAAATAATTCAAATAACTTAATTAAAAAATATAAAGAAACTTAATTAAAACATACGTAGGCTTATCCTTAACATCTGCACAGATAGCTATCCTTGTAGATTAAAAAGTTCGCACACGCACACTTAATTCACGTTTTAAGTTGATTGATCCTATCGCTGAAGACGAATTTCCACCAATAATTTTCCTCCATAAGCTGGTTGACTCTAACGGATCTTCTCTCCAGCAAACTTATCGGGCTCCAATGTTGTAGAGGGGGTTTGGGGGTCGTAATAAACAATCCAGAGCGGGTTCAATACTTTATTATCAATTAAACCAGGCAAGCAATAAAAACCCTGCAAATATACAATTCAATATTAAGTTTTACAAAACAAAAGGGAATATCAAAATACAAACATCATTATCACATTAACTAACACCATTACTACAGCATAGAAATAATTCCGTGTGCTACAAAGTGAATCACTGTTCGAAACCAATAGTAAAAATGTAGGCCTACCAGTACTTTAATAAAAATACTCTATATCTACATTCTAAACTAACTTACCCGAAGTGGGGTTTTAAATACTCAGTTAGTTTAGCTAATCAACCTAACAACCTGAAATAGGATGAGAAATATAAATATATATATAATGTGTGAATGTATGTATCATATATGCAAATTAACTTAATCAAATTTATCCATAAAAACTAAAAACTTCAGTATTAAAATATAAAACTACAGAGTTAAAGATACAACCTATTAGTAAGTGCAGGAGGACCATACTACACGCACAACAAAAATCTACAAGATAAACCTGCAGACAAGATGGAAAATAGACATTGCACCAAATAAACAAATATCAAATCAAGTGAATGGATCCGGGGGCCAGCCATAAGTGTCCACTGCGCTGTACAGTCGTGACACAGACTTCACTCAAATTTGAAAACAATCAGGAATACAAAAAAGATGTAACAGAAATAATGCGACCACATACCTGGTAAATAATTCTTTACCAAAACTTCACAGAAATCAATCACCAAAAACTAAACTTATACACGACTTTGTTAATGCTCCCCTTTGAAGCAAAGATGGTTAACAACTGAATGTATTTACCAACAAATATGTCACATGATCAAGGAATGATGAAACTCAAGAAATGATGAAACTCAGTTAAAGATACATTATGGGAGGTTTTTATAGAGAGTTGGCCATTCTTGCTATAACAGTTCAAAAGTAGATGATGAAAGAGGAATATATTGAAAAATTCAGTCAAATTACTTTATTCTGAACATAGTTATCATCGTTGTAATATTTGCCTAGAAATGGTAGCGAATTGTGTCTTCACCTTCGCTGATCGTTTGATTGACTGGCGTTAACTCCACCTACATATCTCGATTATCAAGTAAAGTTTTCAATGGCATACCGAAACACTTTACAGCGGCCTCGCTAAATACACTCTATCATTTAGCCTCGATCTAACTGACGTATTTTCGTCAGGTTACCCCTTATTTGATTTAATCAATTAGTGAAATCCTATTTAAATCCGAGCTGTAGCCGAGCCATCCGTGGGTCTACAGAGTTGATTTTGGTCTTGTTGTTTAAATAAAGATCTAATTTATAATTTCTATAACACCTGAAGCCTAAATTAAGACTTGCAATAATCAGATTTAGCTCTTGCATAATGCATGTTTAAATGTACTCACTATTGTTAAAGCAACAACAGCTTTAGGAAACTGACAGTAGAAATGTAAAATCTTAAAGGGGCAATCCCGATAATATTTTGGAGAATAAAACTGCTTAATTTTGTGTTAAAACTCCTTAATATCCAGTACCTAAGGGCAGATCAACTAATTCAATATTTGTGATATGTTTTCAAACAACTTACACCTGTCAGTCTTCATTTGGAAATGGAAACCGGTGTCCCAAGCTGTATTATGCGGTGTCTGGATAAAACCACACTTTTATTTTATAAAAACAATGTGTAGGTGAAATTTACCTTTCGTTATCAGTACGGCACATGGGTCATTCACTGTATAGACCTCTAAAGGAACGGCGATAGATTATCAGGTCACCCAACGAAAAAATTGAACAAAAATCTTAATAGGGTTATGTGTCCTGATAAGCATTTTTGACATTCACGTCCAAACAACTCAATATTTTGAGCTGAAATTTTGATGCAGGGTAAATACTGCATTCCTCTATATTTTGGCGCTTAAATTTCATACGAACTCGGACTTTTATTTTTGATAGTCCCTTTAAAGTGGGGGTTTAAAGGTGCTGATCAAAATGCGCAATACTAAAAACATTAAAAACTGATATACACAAACAATGTAAAATACTTTCTATATTACCACCTATAACAATTAGATTAATGCCTTTGTTGGGTTCAATGAATGGGCATTTTCTGTGTCTGTTAAGTAGAGATAAGCAATTTCATTGGTCGAAACTTTGGAACACAGGAACTCTGCCCGTATCTGAGGTAGAATATTCAATCTTGGTGTTGATGTTCATTAGGCAAATGCCTTGACTGAGTTTGATGATGAGTGTTTCTGCTTGTAGAGATAATCAATTTGATTGATTGAGTCTTTAGAAAACAATAACTCAGGTTAGGCAGAGTGATGCTCAATTCAATTGCTCAATGCTTTACAAAACTATTTATTTGTAAGTAATTAATGAATGTCATGTATTTATTTTGAGATTTTTGTGATGTTAGATATCTGTTATCAATTTAAGATTAAATGTTTATTTTCTAGAGACTAATATTTTAGAAGTCAGCAAATTACCAAATGATGTCACTCAAGAAGCTTTGTCTATGTTCTTTGAGAAGAAAAAGTTAGCCCAAGATGCCAAATTGCTTGCCGTAGATTTGAATAAGAAAGAGAATAAGGCTTTTTTGAAATATGATAAATCTGATGGTAATAATTAATTCATACTCAATAACATAGAATTATTATACGCCCACATTTTCATGTGGACGTATATTGTCGTTGCCCCTGTCCGTCCGGACGCAATTGTTTGCGAACACTCTACAGGTCACAATTTTTATCCGATTTCAATGAAACTTGAAATATAAGTTTATCACCCTAAGATCTTGGTTCCTTTCGATATTGGTATGTATCGGATTGTAACTTCATGGATTATGGCCCCTGATTGTACGAAAAATCACGTTTTTAGCTTCTGAACACTGTAGAGGTCACAATTTTTATCCGATTTGGTTTAAACTTGAAATGTATGTTTATAACCTACAGATCTCGGATCCTTTCGATATTCGCGCATATTGGACCATAACTTCCTGAATTATGGCCCCTGATTGTACGAAAAATCACGTTTTTAGCTTGTGGACCATATAGAGGTCACAATATTTATCCGATTTAATCAACCGTTTGAATATATCACCGTTACACCCTAAGGATGGCTGAATTCGAATTTCGTAAAAATCGAACCAAAACTGAAAGGACAAAATGGGCTCCCCCGTTCGCAAATAGTGTCAAAATATTGTGTATCAGGGTTGTGACTTGAAAAGCATGTTTATAACCAAAATATCTTGGTTCCTCTCCATTTTCGTACATATCGAATCGTAACTTCCTGAATTATGGCCCCTTATTGTACGAAAAATCACGTTTTTAGCTTGTGGCCCCTCTAGAGGTCACAATTATTATCTAATTTAAAGTTGCAATTTCATATTTTTAAGTTATATTTTTAAAATTTATTAAAATAAAGCCTTAAAAAAGATGATATCTATAAACAGACCTACCTCGTTAAAGAATAATCCTATTAATCCTATAATTCACTATTGCCAGTTGAGAAATTGGCAAAAATATCATTTTCATCTTCAAATTCCAACGTTTGAAGATAACTACTCCATGGTGGAGAATAGAAAACAAGGGAGGTAATTGAGAGGGAATTGTGTTATTATTTCAGGTGTAAATGAGTTTTAAGTGTGAGAATGACACCTATGATCGTATAATAGTGAGTTGACAACCTATTGAGCAAAAGACATAGAAATAATTATCTTTTGACTTTCTTAGAAAATATGAAATTGTAACTTTAAAATAACGTTCGAATATATCACTGTTACACCGTAATTTTGTCTGAGTTTGAATTTCATGAAAATCGGACCAAAACTGCCGGACAAAATGGCCGCCCCATGTACGCAATTAGTGTAAACATCTGGTATAATAAAGTTGTGGACCCTCTAGACTCTAGAGGCCACAATTTTGATCCGATTTTGATGAAACTTGAAATGCAAGTTTATAACCCAAAGATCTCAGTTCCGTTCAATATTCGCGCATATCAGATCGTAGCTTCCTGAATTATGGCCTCTGGTTGTATGAAAAATCACGTTTGTAGCTTGTGGTCCCTCTAGAGGTCACAATTGTTATCCGATTTAAAAAAAACAACGTTTGAATATATCACCGTTACACCGTAATGTTTGTTGAGTTTGAATTTCGTTAAAATCGGGCCAAAACTGTCGGACAAAATGGCCGCCCCTCGCCCTTCGATGAAACTTGAAATACATGTTTATAATCCAAAGATATTGGTTCCTTTCGATATTCGCGCATATCGGATCATAACTTCCTGAATTATGGCCATTGATTGAACAAAAATGCACGTTTAGTATGTTCTCCATCCATCTCTTGCAAAGTGTGGGCGTATCCTTTCTGGCAGCAGCTGGTTTTCGGTGTACTATTTATTGGTATGGATAAAGAAAACAAGGGTTGAATATCAGGAGACGGTAACTTTGTTTTAATAGCAAAGATAATGGTTGTGTATAAGAAATATCTCCCTTTTTGAAAAGTAGATATAAAATGAAATAAAATAGCTCCTCATCATAGCTAAGATAACATTATTAGACCAACCTAGAACTTTGCAAGAGTGAAGATTTTCGAAGACCTAAACATATTTAAAACAATTTCAAAGATGCAAATAAAGTTTTACTGCCCTTTGTTAATAAATATTATGCCATTAGATATCAAGTCACATTTGGCAATTCTAGTGTTGACTTTTAGTATCAAGATTTGACTTTTTATTTACCGGGGTACTTAAAAAATGACAATGCAGCAACCGTTATGGCCTGATCAGATGACTTAGCTGCTGTGCACAAATTTTTGTTTGCTTGGCAACCTATTTAATATTTCTTGACTTACTATGTTGAACCACCAAACACTCAAGTGAGAGAGAGAAATGGGGTTTAACGTCCACTAGACACAAACTAGGTCATTTCGGGACTAACATATGGTTTAATGTTATTTCAATAATTCGCTTGTGCGTAGGGGTCTTTAGCAGTGGAAGGAAACCGAAGGACCTGGAGAAAACCCACGAGGTTGGACAGACGACCCTACCCTTGTCACGTACACCCGGGGATTCGAAACCACGCCAGTTGACTCAATGACAGGCTTTCTGATACAGCGCGCACATGCTAACCATTCGTCCATCCAACCCCCCAACGTAGCGACGTGTTGTATGTTTGTTAGCTGTATAATAAGTGACCCGTTTAACATCAGTTACGTCACACTAATCACGTGATCTTTAAAAACACCCTCATTTACAACATTCCTCCCCGTTTTGTTGGCACTTGGTCACAGATTAGGGTACAGGGGGAATCTTACAATACTTCATAGAACATCATACAGGGACCAAACATCTTGTTAAAATCAGTATGTACAATAAAACTGAACACTATCTACACAGTAAAATCATTAAAACTTCTGGCGAAGACTTCTGGTCAGAGTAAAAACATCCTACAACACCTGCCCATGGAATGAATCAGCTGGAACCAATTCATCAACTATAAGCCTGTTATCCAGAACATCATTGATTTCAAGTGAATAGACTCCAGGCAGGGCGAAACAACACCGGTTTCTAGATCTAGAAAGGAATGTCTGTGTCGCTCCAACCATAATGGCAAGTTGTTCAAGCATTGCTTGATTTGATCACGGTGGATAACTATTTGTTGTTTTCTGGCATCCAACCGATACAATGTGAGGTTTGCAGCAATACCAAGATAAGGATCCTTTCAAGGAGGTGGCAACTTCATACTCTGTTCAGTCTTGTAGGACGAATCAATGACATACCCAACATCACCAAGCACGAACCTGATAATGTTATGCCACAAAGACCTGCAACCAAAGGATCGGTACCCCAAGCTAACCAAGTGGCAGAGATCTCCTTTTTACATTGTTGGATGCTTATTTCTGTGCTGGTATAACAGGAGACCCAGCTACGGTCATTCATCTCGGACACAACCAGCACCACAGGAAAGTTGACACACCTTCGAATCGTTCTCACCTGCTTGTGTATCAAAACTGATGTAGGGCTCCAGTCAGAATGAGATGGCATAACATTTTTAGCACCAGTTTCTGCTCCTATGAAACCTGTCTGAATATCAACTTTGGTATCAGGATCTACAGACAGCATAGAACCTTGTCCCAAACACTGGAAATATTTGCTTCGGAAGCAGGTATGCGATATACGGATCAACAAGAATCTCTTCTCCAACCGAAAGGGCACCATTCATCACACAGTTATTCTGCACTGGGAAGTACAATCCAATAGTAACATGATCGAACATAGAAACCACACCAAAATCCAAGAAAGAACTTTCAAAAGTTGTAGTATTACCAGGCAACAAATCACCAGAAAACAGCTCAGAAGCGATTCCCTTCATTCAAACAGCTTTGTCTACCTCTACTTTCTCCACCCCATTCAAAAAAAATGTTGATATCACTGCATCAGTTTGCTGTTCAAACAAGTAGATGGGTAACACTAATCTTACCCCGGAAAGCCCACTCTAACCATGACGATACTAATTAGTATGAATTGTACTTTCTGTTCTTACCCTCACAGCCAGTCGACTGAAGTTTAAAGGATTGATTCTGTCCCTAGAAATTGATTGCCACTGTGCGTGTTGATCCGCAGTGGCACCACTTGGTGAATCCCGAGGATTCCAAAGCAGCTTACTTGAAGCAGAGCAAGGATGAGACCAAGATGGTGACCTGGACAACTGGCCAGAAGAGAGGTCAGACGTGTTGAGATGAATGGATATAAGGGTTAGGAGATGGAGACTGGCTACAAGCTGAAGAATTGCGGTCATCTGAATTCAGATACCCCCGATTGGACACTGGAGAGCTGAATCTGGAAAAGGGATGTTGGGGTGTAAGTGTATTCTGTTGAATGAACCGTGTGTCATAACGCATCATACTCTTTTGGATATCGAACATTGCTGGTCTGTCAGCAACACCGCGAACTTTAAAGGTTGCTATTGTCTCCGTCTGTTGCATCGGGACAGGTTGAACTCCAGATGCAACCCGGTGACCTCAGTTGCATCAGACATTGTTATGATGCCTAAAACTTCCCTTTCTTCTATGATCCTTTCCGCCTCCACTTTCCCAATCTTCGCCAGACACATTAAGGTTCTCAAATCAGCTGTCTGCGTGTCTATAGTAGCCATTCTCCCTCCTTCAATGAAAGCTGACAAAGAAAATTCAGACAATAAAACAGGTTATCTTTATTGTAAATTATCACCAATTGGCTGTAAGTTAATATTCAGAAGATAATTTTGTCAGAGATTATCTTCCATACACCAAGTTAAATTGACCTTTTATGCACCTATTTCAATAATAAGTGCAACAGGGATTGTAACTCATAGAACTTGAAGAACCAACTTGATAAAGTCAGTAAAAATATTAATTTTTAATTCAAATAAGAATTAAATAATTTTTCACTCAATGTGCATCAGCACAATTCATGAAAATTATCAGGAATAAATACACTGACTTTGATTAAAGATACATTATGGGAGATTTTTATAGAGAATTGGCCATTCTTGCTATAACAGTTTAAAAGTAGATGATGAAAGAAAAATATATTGAAAATTTCAGTCAAATTACTTTATTCTGAACATAGTTATCATCGTTGTAATATTTGACTAGAAATGGTAGTGAAATGTGCCTTCACCGTGGTCGATCGTTTGATTGACAGGCGTTAACTCCACCTACATATCTCGATTATCAAGTAAAGTTTTCAATGGCATGCGGAAATGCTGTACAGCGGCCTCGCTAAGTACACTCTATCATTTAGCCTCGATCTAACTGATGTATTCTCATCAGGATGCGCCATATTTGAATTAATTAATAAGTGAAATCCGATTTAAATCCGAGCTGTAGCCGAGCCATCCGTGGGTCTACAGAGTTGATTTTGGGCTTGTTGTTTAAATAAAGATCTAATTTATAATTTCTATAACATCTGAAGCCTAAATTAAGACTTGCAATAATCAGATTTTGCTCTTGCATAATGTATGTTTAATTAGAAGGTGTAATTTTTGGCAGCTATGACCGCCTATAGTAAAGTGTAACTAACGCTGTCGTGAATGACAACAGCTCACATGACCACTTTTCTTCGTTTATGTGAAACAAAGAATAATAATTATCTATATCAATGGGTTTATGCTGTAATCCTTAATATGGTTATTGAAATGACGTTTATTTACTCCTTTCTCTTCTTTCTTCGAGTATATCAAATAACAATCAACAGGAACAATTTGAACCTTCAGAATTCACTGAAAGCTATATCACCTGATCACGACCAAAATGCTGAATCAGCACTTTTATCCAATATTACAATATTCAACGTAATCTTAGTCAAATGAATTTACGGCGACGCCAATGTAATATTTCTTGACTTACTATGTTGAACCACCAAACACTCAAGTAGACGAGCTGTAGTAGCGATGTGTTGTATGTTTGGTAGCTGTATTTTAAGTGACTCGTTTAACATCAGTTACGTCACACTAATCACGTGACCTTTATAAAACCCCTCATTTACAACACTATGTTTCTTTAATTTCAGCGGTGAAACACATATCTAAGAAAGAGGTTGTGCAATTTCACGGTTCTGATGTTTGTGTGAAACCCTTTACTGGAGATGTGAAAATTGAAAAAGAGAACAAAACTTTAAAAATTACTGACTTCAATCCTAACACATCAGTAGAAATGATCGATATGTATTTTGAGAGCAAGAAAAGATCTGGAGCTTCTGCTGAAGAAGTAAAGTCTTTTAAAGAGGATGGTTACACCCTTGTAACTTATTCAACAATTGATGGTAAGTTAAGCACAAATGATTATCAGTAAACAGTCAAAGCAATTCATATTCCTAGGATTTCAGATGAAAAAAACTGCTGAGGTAGGTGGAAGTAATCTGTGTAAAAACTGCCTTCTTGACGATCTAAAGATGCTTGGCAGATCAGTGAGTAAACTTGAACAAATAAGCATTTTAGGATCCCCCAAACCAGGCATGATATTTCCGCGCACATGCGCACGGCGTGCGCAGGCACATTTGCTTTAAAAAAACTTTTTTGCAGGCACATTTTTATACGTCCACATTCATAATGTGAACGTATTATGCCGTCGCCCCTGTCTGTGTGTGTGTGTGTGTGTATGTATGTATGTGTGTGTGTGTGTGTGTGTGTGTCTGTGGTTCGCCTACAGGGCGCAATTCTTCATGGATTTTCTTCAAACTTGGTATACTTATTCCTTATACCCCAAGGAAGATCCCTATTGTTTTTGGTGCATGCCCGACCCCCCGGGGCAGAGCCACGCCCATTTCTAGTATTTGTTTGTTTGTCGTCTACAGGCCACATTTCTTAACTAATAATCTTGAAACTTTGCATACACATTCTTTGTACCCTAAGGAACATCCCTATCGTTTGGGGTGCATGCCCAACCCCCAGGGGCAGAGCCACGCCCATTTTCTTTTCGTGTGTCTTTGTGTCGCCTACAGGGCGCAATTCTTACTGGATTTTCTTCAAACTTGGTATACTTATTCCTTATACCCCAAGGAAGATCCCTATTGTTTTTGGTGCATGCCCGACCCCCAGGGGCAGAGCCACGCCCATTTCTAGTATTTGTTTGTTTGTCGTCTACAGGCCACATTTCTTAACTTATAATCTTGCATACACATTCTTTGTACCCTAAGGAACATCCCTATCGTTTGGGGTACATGCCCAACCCCCAGGGGCAGAGCCACGCCCATTTCCCATTTTCTTTTCGTGTGTCTTTGTGTCGCCTACAGGGCGCAATTCTTACTGGATTTTCTTCAAACTTGGTATACTTATTCCTTATACCCCAAGGAAGATCCCTATTGTTTTTGGTGCATGCCCGACCCCCAGGGGCAGAGCCACGCCCATTTCTAGTATTTGTTTGTTTGTCGTCTACAGGCCACATTTCTTAACTTATAATCTTGCATACACATTCTTTGTACCCCAAGGAACATCCCTATCGTTTTGGGAGCATGCCCAACCCCCAGGGGCAAAGCCACGCCCATTTTCTTTTTTATGTCTGTGTGTCGCCTACAGGCCACAATTCTTCATCAATCGTCTTGAAATTTTTTCATATGAATTGCTTATACCCTAACGGTGATCCCTATTGTTTTTTTTACCCCCAGGGGCAGAGCCACGCCCATTTTCTTTTCTTTTTAGGTCTGTGTGTCAACTACAGGCCACAATTCTTAATCAATCGTCTTGAAAATTTTTCATATGAATTGCTTATACCCTAACGATGATCCCTATTGTTTTTGGTGCATGCCCGACCGCCAGGGGCAGAGCCGCGCCCATTCCTTATATTTATTTATTTGTATGTCATCTACAGATAGCATTTCTTATCGTATCACCTTGAAACTTGGCATACATATTCCTTCTATCCTAAGGAACATCCCTATTATTTGTGGTCAATACCCAACTTTCAGGGGCAGAGCTACGCCCATTTTCTTTTTTTTTATGTCTGTGTGTCACTTGCAGACCGCATTTCTTAATCGATCGTCTTGAAAACTGTTTTATACTTATTCCTTTATACTTATTCCTTAAGCCTAAGGCTGACCTCTATTATTATTTTTGGTGTGTGTCTTGTCTTTTGCCTACAGGCCGCAATTCTTAACAGATCCTTTTGAAACTTTGCATACCTATTCGAAACGTCATGCTTTTAGAATAAAGACATCGATTGTTTTAAAACAAAAATTGCGTTCTGTTAATGTGAACGAAATGTTAAACTGATAGCAGTCCTACAACTCAGTTTTATTTCACAGACCCTCAATGCAAACTGGACCATATCAAACAAAACAGGAATGTGGACGTATATTGCTGCGTTAGCGATGCTCTTGTTAAAGATGTAGCCACTTGCCGCCCAGCACAAAGAAAAAATCGAAGTAAGCCGCCCAGTCGTATTTAAACCCCTTCATCCTTCTCTGTACACAAACTCGGCGCTCGAAATTTACCACGGCAATTAAATGGCAAAGCCATGGTAAAAGCTGACGTACGCAAACCATGTCTGTCACGGCATAATTTATTTTTGTGTGCCGTAGTAGACCCTATCATCCCAAATTAGTTTAAAGAAAGATGTATTGGTATTTTGTTTATTTATACTAAGAAGGTGTGTAGGCCTAGGTCTATTCATTTTACAATTATTCTACGGTCTTTATATTTGTTTATTTGCCGTAAATAGGTTACCCAGACCAATTTACGGCACTCCAATGTTAAAGGTTTGAATGTCGTAATTGTCCAACACGTGCCTGCAAATTTTCACTATGTTTCTTATTTTATTTCTTACCGGTGTTGACCGTGGATTTGCTACGGCCCGAGAGTAGGACTAGGAGGACGTTAAGAGCTTTCTCAGTTTCTGCCTGACCTGATTCTCATTCAACCGTAATAATAATAATATTCGTGAGACACGTACAACAACTTTACAAACAAGTCAAATAATACCACGTGTTTTAATTATCAATATCCACCTGTTGTCATAATTCTTTGTACTCAAATAAAACACAAACACCGTTTTAAGAATCGTTTTAATTTTTAATCTCAAAGTAATAAAGTAGTATTTGAAAAAAAAACCAACAAAACAACAAATACCGAAAGATCCGCAACTTATCTATCCAGAGAAACAGAGTGGGGCGGGACAATTTTATGCTCGGTCGGGTGGTGTCAAAAAGTTTTTATATCCCTGTATCATTGATGAAAATTAAGTGAATTTGGTAAAATTTGAATATATAAATGGAAATTTGATTTGCACTGAACCAAATACAAAAGGCAGCAGATGCTCTGAAAATACACCAAGAAGGGTTTAATTTTCATAAAAGACCACGCCCCCCTCCCAAATATTTTTGGCACTCGCTCCGCTCGTCAAATATATTTTTGCACCACTCACCAAATCCTGGCTACATCCCAGTGTTTCACTCTGTTTCAGTATGACCCTGCAGGCACATTTTCAAGTGTGTGCGCAGGCACACCCAACTTTTATAGAGCCCTGCCCCAAACCCAAGAAGACCAGAGGCTGTGTTGATAAGATTAGTTTTTAATGATAACCTTCCGATCTTAGTCAAACTTCATCAGATACATTAGATTAGGGAAAAAAATGTAAGGTCCTTTTATAGAGGATTAATCTTATATCATTAACAGGATTAATCTGTTCTTCTTTGAGTAATTCTTTTAAGGAACAAGATCATTTATCAAGTATAATATGATGTTTTTTCAGATGTTACAATTGTTCTTTCAAGAGATCATATTCTGGATGGTGAGACATTAACTGTTCAATATTATGAAGAAGAAATTCCAGAATTAAAGGCAATTAAAGTATCTGGATTTAAGTCAACAAGTTTTCAGTTGATGGAGTTGTACTTTGAAAATCAGAAGAAGTGTGGAGCAGAAGCAGAAAAAGTTGAACTGAGTGAAGATAAAACATATTTACTTGTCACGTTTGATACAACCGAAGGTACGTTTAACAATTAAAAGTGGATAAACAATCTGATTAAAATACAGATCTATATTTCGTTTCGTTTTTTATACGCCCTCATTGAAATGTGGTCATATATTGTCCTCGCCTCCGTCCGTACATAGGTCCTGCGTCCACAGTTGCTTGTGGTCGCTCTAGAGGCTAGAATTAATATCCGATGGACTTTAAATTTGTACACAGTGTTTAAGGTCATGAGACGAAGAAGCTTATTGTTTTTTAGCGATTTCCGATAATTACTGCAGAGTTATGGCCCTTGATCACTTCAAAAAATCTTGTGGACACTCTAGAGGCTATAGTTAATATCCAATTGACTTTAAATTAATACACAGTGTTTAAGGTCATGAGACGAAGAATCCTATTGATTTTCAGCGATTTCCGATAATTACTGCCAGAGTTATGGCCCTTGATAACTTCAAAAAATCTTGTGAACGCTCAAGAGGCCAAAGTTAATATCTGATTGACTTTAAATTTATACACAGTGTTTAAGGTCATGAGACAAAGAAGCCGATTAATTTTCAGCAATTTCCAATAATTACTGCCAGACTTTAAATTTATATGCAGTGTTTGAGGTCATGAGACGAAAAATCCTATTGATTTTCAACTGCCAAAGTTATGGCCCTTGATCACTTTGAAAAATCTTGTGACGCTCTAGAGGCTTATTATATCATCCGATTGACTTCAGATTGATACACAAAGTTTAAGGTCTTGAAACGAACAAGTATATTGATTTTTAATGAATTTTGATAACTTGAACAGCTAAATCCGTGATATTAAATATTTCGTATACCAAACATTAGCATGGGGAAGAAATTTATAAAACCAAACAAATTCTAATGATTTTCTGATAATTACTTAATGAGTTGTTACTCTTAATCAGATTTTAGTGTATTATAAATGTTTCATTACTGAAAAAGTAAAAATATGCAACAACTCTTGTTGACTGCCCAGATGATTTAGCTGCTGTGGGCGTATGTTTCGTTGCCTGGCAACCTATCTTTAATACTTTCGATGGCCTACCCTACATGAAGATCTGACCGGTTGTAGTGGAAGGTCGCGTCTGGGGTCATACGAGTGGCTTTTGACCCTATGACGTCAGACATTGATTAATCAATCACCGGTGACATTTCAAGTGGTTTACCCACAGTTACGTTCACCGCACACCAAGAACTTGTTGTAACAGACCGTTTTATTGGCTAATCCCTCACATCAACCAGAACGCAGATTATAACAACTCTTCCAGATCCTAGTGTTGTGAAAGCAAGTAAAACAAAATTTTGAACTATAAATGAAAGAAAGGAAATAGGATCTGTGTGTTAATCAGATTGAGTGGATACACATACACACTTGTTTACTTTTAGTGAAACAGCGGGTAAATTTAACAGAGTGGATACACGATTTATTTACTTTTAGTGAAACAGCGGGTAAATTTAACAAAGTGGATACACAATTTATTTACTTTTAGTGAAACAAGGGGTAAATTTAACAAAGTGGTTTTGTTAGCACGGGAAAAAAGTTTATGTGTAAGGTAAGGAAAAAACATCTGAATCAAAAGTTGGTAAGAAAAAACGGGTTGTTTTGGGTATATTTTTTAAGAACACAGTATACTTTCTGTTTTTGTTCCAGAAGCTGAATTGGTATGTAGTAGAAAACATATATTAGATGGTTGTGAGTTAATAGTTGAAATATTCAACCCATCAACACAAGATAATTCAACACATGATGATGGTAAAATAATAGTTTGTGTTAGTGGATATAAAGATACAACAAGTAAACAGATGATAGAGATGTATTTAGAGAGTAAGAAAAGATTTGGTGCAGTTGCTGAAAATATTGAAATAAATCAACAGGAAAAATGTGCTTATGTTACTTTATCGAGTGAAAGGGGTAAATATCATGTTTAATCTTTAAAGTTATATTCCATATATGCCCTTCGGGCATCTCGGATTTATATTGCATATTTCTCATTATTCTTTCTAACTATGCACACTCGCTTAAACTTTAAAGGCTAAAAATAGCTCACCGAATCAGTGTGTATAAACACGTGACCACCCTCTGTATAAACAATCATAACATTTTCAGTATTGTCTTTTTCTCTTTTGATCTAGACTGTGCACATTCGTGTGTTCGTGATAAAGCTGTTATCATGTTCTTAAATTTTCTTTCCATTGTGTTCAATGTGTGTTGATCATTTATATTTTATCATGGACCTGTATTAGGGAGGGATTCTGCGAGGCAGATCTTTTAAATGATCATAATGTAACCGCAAACTTGCTAGATTTAAACGTCATAATTATACGGCTTTTTTAGACAAGAGATTATATTCACCATGAGCGGGACAATCAAGAATAAACCGGATGTTTACAACAGCAGTCCAATGATGGAGGTATACTTCCGATTCTGAACTCGATAATAACATTTTTAACATACCCATAGGTTAAAACGAGCATAATAACAGAAATTTTCCGCTAAAAGGTCTATAAAGGCCTTTAAATCGAACGCCAATAATATAGTTGGTTTGTAAATTTATCCAATTCAATTGTGTTGAGTCAACAGAATTTGATTGATATATGATAATAATGATAATGATGATCGTAACGTTAACATTATATTACCGGTACTGATTATTAACATAATATTAACAATAATAAAGAGGGTTACCCTTATATTAGTAGTAATAATAAGTATATAAGTAGATCAAATAAAAAGGTTGTTATTAATAAGCCTGCAACAAATAATGTTGTTACCACAAAATGAGCCGTTACGGCCCCTGCTATAGGCTTGAATCATAGTGCAAGTAATATTAATTTGCATTAGTACCGGTACTGATTATTAACATAATATTAACAATAATAAAGAGGGTTACCCTTATACTAGTAGTAATAATAAGTATATAAATAAATCTAATAAAAAGGTTGTTATTAATAAGCCTGCAACAAATAATGTTGTTACGACAAAACGAGCCGTTACAGCCCCTGCTATAGGCTTGAATCATAGTGCAAGTAATATTAATTTGCATTATTACCGGTACTGATTATTAACATAATATTAACAATAATAAAGAGGGTTACCCTTATACTAGTAGTAATAAGTATATAAGTAGATCTAATAAAAAGGTTGTTATTAATAAGCCTGCAACAAATAATGTCGTCATGACAAAATGAGCCGTTACGGCCCCTGCTATAGGCTTAAATCATAATGCAAGTAATATTTTCAGGTGGTGGCATTTTAGTAGATAAAAATGAATTTGAGTTTCTTCAAAACCAGGTTTCCTTGATGTCCAATCTTCACTGATTTAATATAACAATCCATCTTAAAATCAAAGTCTTGATTGTAATTGTTGTTCATCAGTCTGTTAGGTCGGTTAATAGACCTGCATCACATGGTTTTGAAGACGCGGTATCACTACATCATGAAGATAAAAAGTATACAATAACATTTTAAGTAACTAATAATCAATCAGGTTTAGATATCATGGATCCTCAAAGTTTGTATGATGAATTCATGGAGTAAACACAAGAAACTAAGTTTGACATCCCCAAAATCTTTTAGGGTGATGATGTCTTTAATGATTCTGTGAACAACCAAGCTACCAATAAAAAGGTTGAGAAAAAGAAATTGACATTCTACTATCCTCTATCAGTTAAATGCAAGAGATTGTTGCCACCTTTGTTGGACCAGGATATTTGTCATGCCCTGCCCAAAGCGGCTCAGGATTGTTATCTTCAGGAGGTTCAAAAACTATCATGTCTGGGTTTATGCCCTCTGATACCTCTTTTAAATAAAAATATTGACCCTGAGGTAGTCCTCTATTGTAGATTCTATCATAACCTTAGGCAATGCCCATTTAGAGTTGTCTCTGAAGCATAGATTATTTCTTAGGAAATATCGCAGCAAAAGGTAGCACCCAATATATTTAACCACAAGGCCTGTTGATTTGTCCGGCTGGATTGTTACGGCAGGCCCTTCGGGGAATGTCATCTCCAACATTTCAACTCCTATATTCAGAAGGCTATTCCAAGTAGACTGCCTTTTAATCGTAAACAGATGTCTTTAATAGATGAGGAAGTCATTAAAATGATATGTAAGAAAGCCTACTTCTGTATCAGCATACAGTCATATTATTATTATTATTATATTATTATTATAAAAAAAAAAACAAAAAAACTTTTTAAGCAGGAAACACTGGCAATTGCCCTAAGGCTATTAAACAGAACGATTTTTTAACATCCATTGATATTAAAGAGGCTTACTTTTCAATTCCTGTTTGTCTTGATCATCGAATATATCTACGTTTCAAATGGCAAGATCAAGTTTATGTGTTTACATGTTTACCTTTTGGTCTTTAATCGGTTACACATATCTTTACAAAAACTCTCAAACCTGTGTTTGCTTGGCTCAGGAAACAGGGCATTATATGTACATACTTTATAGATGATTCTTTATCTGCTGCAGGCTTTTTTAGTTTTGGCTTCATAATTAATGCAGAAAGTATTTTAGGCTTCATAATTAATACAGAAAGTTATCAAGCTTGTTGACATGAGAGAGTTTCTAAAATAAATAATAATGGCTGAGGAAATTTTGTTTAGTTCAAATTTGTTAATTCATATGAGCCATCATTTATTGGTCAGTGTTCCTTTAGTAGAACTTCTATTATACTTGCATTATTTTTATCCATTATTTAGACAAACAGAAAAATATATTTCTGTCACACTGTATCTTCAGTTGTGATAATGATATCATTCATATTCAGGCAATGTTTTTGGAAATAGAATGGTGGATATCTAAGGTTTGTATATATATAATGGGTTTTATATTCATCCACCTAGTATACATGTATAAATGGTTCATAACATCAGATGCTTTCCCATATGGATGGGGTGCCCACAGGGGTAATTTCCAAAGCAATGGCCGTTGAAATCTTTAAGAGCAAGGAAACCATATAAATTACTTAGAAGTTTGAGTAATATTCTATGTTCTGTCTGTGGTCATATTTGTTTTTTTATACACATTTGTATCCAGTCTGATAATACTTTTGTATTACTTATATAAATAATCAGGGTGGTTATATTGGTAATCTTTTTGAATTGTCTAAAGAAGTTTGGCTGTGGTCTTTGAAAAAAGGAATTTTTTTGTCAGCCAAACATGTTGTTGGTAAATCTAATGTATTGATGGACATTTTGTCTAGAATATTTTCTAGTTCAACGGAATTAAGCTAAATGAGTATATCTTTACAAAGATTTGTAATCCTTTTTTCAGACTTAATAGACATTTAGAAAAATGTTTCTTGACATCCAGACCTTTTTTCTAGCATGCAATGCTTTTTCTATATATGTATCAATGGTTCTGGCAAAGGTATTTCAAAACAGTAGATCAAGCAGCCATAATCATTCCAGGCTGGTCAACTCCTGTATGATATCCAATTTTACTATCAGTGCTCACAGCCGACCCAGTTCGGTTACCTGTTCGCAAGAACCTTTTACTTTTAAGCCACAATGGTGCTTTACAATCTCTTCGAGGGAAGAATCTATATCTAACAGGATGCAGGATGCCTGGCAATCCTTCTATAATAGAGGAATATCAAAGCAATCTGCTAATATCCTTAATTCTTGGCGGTCATCTACTACGAACAGTATGCATTCGCCTAGCTGGAGAAGATGGAATTTTTGGTGTTGTGGACAACAAATTAATTCATTTCATCCATCTGTAGTTTTATAAATTTCTTAGGAGATATGTCTAATCAATTTCCTTATAGTGTAAAAAACATTATTAGATTCTCTGTAACTCAACAGATATCTGTTTACTTGGAATGCTTCAATATTAGTAAATTAGTTGGGTACGCTGTATCCATTGCAAAATTCATCTTTGAGAATACTGACATATAAAAACAGTTGGTTTGTTCGCTTTAGCTACAGCTCAGAGGTGTCAAATTTTAACAGCCTTTTGCCATAATGCTTTATATGATTCAGGCTCTGTTATTACCTTGAGAGTAAATAAGGTTTCGAAAACTTCTCGACCTTTAACACCGTTATTCAGGGTTAAAATTCCAAGTTTTAAAGATATCAGGATCTGTCCTTGTTTTACTTGAGACAGTATATCCGTACAACAGTAGAATACCATAAATCCAGTCAAGGATTTGTTTTCCATTTATACGAAGAAGGCTGTAGCTCCAGGAACTTTTGCTAGGTGTTTAAGAGAAATATTAAAGTTAGCTAGTATTGATACTTCTATTTTTAAAGCCCACTCAATTAGAGGGGCATCAACTTCTTCGACATTTAATGGTGGTTGTTCACATTCAGACATTTTGAAGGCTGCAAACAGGAAATATGGATATATATTTGCCAGGTTTTACCACCAGTATGTGCTAAATTTGTTCATCTTGTATGCTGGCTGTGGAATAAATAATAAATGAACTACTAATTTGTTTTAATTGTTATTTCCTTTGTTGACAACCCTTTAAACTATGCAATATAAATCTGAGATGCCCGAAGGGCATATATGGAATACAATCCCCCTCTCATCCAAGCACCCGAAGGGCGTGATGGATGAGAAGGATTATATGAATATATAGCCCAAGGGCTCGAGGATTTATCTTCCCTCACTTGAGCCCTCCCTTTGCTATATTTGGCTGTCAACAAATCTTTAAAAAGACAATACTGATAGTGTTATGATTGTTTATATAGAGCGTGGTCACGTGTTTATACACACTGATTTGGTGAGCTATTTTTAGCCTTTAAAGTTTGAGCGAGTGTGCATGGTTAGAAAGAATAATGAGAAATATGCAATATAAATCCGCGAGCCCTCGGGCTATATATTCATATAATCCTTCTCGTCCATCACGCCCTTCGGGTTATATCTTGTACTATAACCACTTTAATGTTAAAGTTATCTTGTGCATTGCCAACTGCTATCCAAGTTTTTGTATCTATTACATATACCATTCATTTACAACACTCTTACTAACCTTTAATCCAGGAACCCCCACCTTTTCAGCCAAGAACCCACAAAACTTAACCCACGAGGACTAGAGGCCACAATCATAAAAAACAGCTAAAATCACAGGTTACAATCATAATCTATTAATGATACATCTGATAATGTATCAATCTTGTGTGGTATGTCAGTCATGTAGTCTAGTTGTTCACCTGGTATGTGTACAGTCCTAGGCCTGTAATAATACAGACTTCACTCAAAATAAAAACAAACTATAAGCGAGACAAACCACAGAAAAAGTGGAATATTTCCCAAACTTTGTATTATTTTAGTATAAGTCATGATGGTAATTTGTTTCAAGAAATTTCGATGATGGCACATTAAAGAATTTTGTCTAAAGGAAGGGCGGGGTAAGCTGTTGAATTATTGTATCTTTCTGTGCCAAATCCGAAATTTGCTGTTATAAAGACCAGGAAAATCGTGTGAATGATAAGTTGGTAAAACGGACTATTTTGATATATTTTCTATGCAAACGATTGTACTTTTTTCCAGATGCCAAATTGGTATGTAGTAGAGAACATATATTAGATGATTATAATTTAACAGTTGAAATATTCAACCCATCAACACAATTAGATAATTCAACACATGATGATGGTAAAAGAATAGTTCGTGTTAGTGGATATAAAGATACATCAAGTAAACAGATGATAGAGATGTATTTAGAGAGTGAGAAAAGATTTGGTGCTGTTGTTGAAAATATTGAAATAAATCAAGAGGAAAAATGTGCTTATGTTACTTTATCTGCGGAAAAGGGTAAATATGCCTTTATGTTCAAGATATTTTGTATAATGCCCCAATGTGCTTTTACCTTAAAGTTATTTTGCATAATACCCCAATGTTCTCTAATCAACTATAATTCATTAAAACCTTTAACAAAATTCTGTGATATTTATACGCCCAATGTGGGGGTATTATGTCGTCACCCTGTCAGTCAGTCAACAATAGGCTAGTGAACGGGTTAGAGGCTAGAGTTTTAGGTGGATTCTTTTTTAAATATTTTGCGTTCAGCTTTCCACAATTTCGCCCAAAACCTTGTGAATGTTGTCATGGTGTCGGGTTAGGGTTGTCGTGGTGTTGGGATTTCGTGGTGCCGGGTTATCGGCCATATTCTTATCAATACTATGATTATATACACTGATCCTGGTGTTGGTCAAGAAAGTTCCCTGGGATTTTGCAGAGTAGTTCCTCCCTGTCGTTAGTGCAGGACAAAGGGTCTGGGTAAGTACAGTGTCTAGTTGTGTAGATTGGACAAAAAACAAGTTCCTGTTTACACATTGCCGTGCACATAAAAGAATCCTTCACAGTTGAATTTCGATTAAAAAATACCACGAATCATTGCCTGATTGGTGCAGAAAAGTAGGAAAATTGAATGAAATGAAATTGTGTTCAATGCCCTACTGTTCTGCACTGAGCTAATGAAGACAGGCACACGCTATACAGTGTACTGTGAGGGAAACTGGGCTAATGAAGATGGGCATACGCTATACAGTGTACTGTGAGAGAAACTTTGCTCGGATAGCGGCGCTACTCTTATATTGAATTCCATCTGTCAGGGCGTCTTTTATGTGCTCGCTTAGATATAAACACAGAACCTCGATTTTCCGTCCCATCCAAAACACTATACGTTATCCCCTGCCAGGCCCTCCGTCCTGTACCACTACGACAACCCGACATCACAACATATTAACCCAACAATACAACATTTTTACACAACATTACAATATTTTTAACGTCGGCGTGTCGGGTGAAAATGTCATATTGTCGGGTTAAAATGTTGGGTTGTCATAGTGTCGGGTTAAAATGTCGCGATGTCGGGTTGTCGCCTTATGAAGGTCGACACCGTGACATCCCGACATGATACCAATACGCCATACCATACCCTTTCCTCGCCTTTTGTACAACACCCAACCCAAACTCTCAAGATGCGGAATTCAACAATGCTTGTGAGGTTACCGACACCCTGTCCATATCGGCGCCTCGTATAAATTAAATGTGGGGATGGCAGGGGAGGATCGCCAAACAGCGAGACTTGTCAGGTTCTCCGAGCTGGCTCCTTATATTTGTGTTGTTTTCCTCCTTTAATTTCCGATTCCATTCATGCGCTCCCATCCCTAGCCTTTCGTATAACACCCAACCCAAACTTTCAAGATGAGGGATTCATCGATGCTATCCCCTATCCGATTTTGTTGAAACTTAAAATATATGTTTATATCTGTAAGACCTCGGTTTCAATTGCGTTTTTCGTGGGTGTATTGTGCATGGCAACCGCTTGTTAACAGATTTTTCTAAAATTTGGTGTAAAGCATTGGGATCATATGAGTAGTATATTGAGTGTTTTGTGACTTTCCGTTCCAGAGTTATGCCCCTTTCTCCAGAAAACCTTGTGAATGCGATAGATGCTATAGTTTGAAATGAATCTTTTTCATATTTGGCTTGAAGCTTTAGGGTTATCGATCCCTATAGATATTCATAATCCACAGTCTTCAGTTCCTGAATTATCACCCCTTTGAAGAAGACTATGTGAACATGATAGAGGCTATAGGTTTTAACAGATTTTTATCAAATTTGGTTTGCAGCAATGCGATCTTAAGTGGATGAACCCTGTATCTAGAGATTTAATTTTTTTCAAGGATTCCAGATCCTTATCAAATTTGCTCAAAATCCAAGCTTTCCTTTGGGATAAGCTGCTGTAAAGACAAAGCTGTTGTGTGGGCGTGTTCCAGGCTTTGCTTGGGTATCTTTTACGATATCACACATTTTGTTTGGGCTTGTTTACCTGGCTGGCAACCAATGTTCCGATTAACATTTAAGGCTCGATGGGTCATTTAGCGATATAGAACCCCCTTACAAACTACAACATCGTGAACGTTTATTCTCCAATGGGAATATCAGTCCCACAATGGTAAATATGCTTTTACCGTAAAGTTGTTTTGTTCGATGTCCCAACTATAATTCATTAAAATCTATGACAAATCTCTGTAAATTGTTTTGGTCATTGTTTGCGAAAACAATCAATCTGATTAAAATACAGATCCATATTGCGTTTCGTTTTTATACGCCAGCTTTTTCATGTGGACGTATATTGTCGTCGCCCCTGTCCGTCCGGACGTCCAATCGTCGTCCACAATTGTTTGTGGACTATCTACAGGTCACAATTCTTATCCGATTTTGACGAAACTTTAAATATAGGTTTATCCCCAAAAGATCTCTGCTGCTTTTGATATTGGCATGTATCTGATCAAATCTTCATGGATTATGGCCCCTGTTTGTACGAAAAATCACGTTTTTAGCTTGTGGACCCTATAGAGGTCACAATTTTTAACCGATTTTGTTGAAACTTGAAATGTAAGTTTATAACACAAAGATCTTGGTTCCTTTCGATATTCGCTCATATCGGACTGTAACTTCCTGAATTATGGCCCTTGATTGTACGAAAAATCACGTTTTTAACTTGTGGACCCTATAGAGGTCATAATTTTTATCCGATTTAAAAAAACGTATTATTATATCACCGTTACACCCTAAAGACGGCTGAGTTCGAATTTGGTGAAAATCGGCCCAAAACTGACAGACAAAATGGCCGTCCTTCGTTCTCAAATAGCGTAAAAATATGGTATATCAAGGTTGTGGACCCTATAGAGGTCACAATTTTTATCCGATTTTGTTGAAACTTAAAATGTAATTTTATAACCCAAAGATCTCGGTTCCTTTCGATATTCACGCATATTGGACCGTAACTTCCTGAATTATGGCCCCTGATTGTACGAAAAATCGCGTTTTTTGCTTGTGGACCCTCTATCCATCTCTCGAAAATGTGGGCGTATCCTGCCTGGCAGCCGCTGGTTTATACTTTCGACGACTACATGAAGATCTGTCCAGTTGTTTTGGGAGGTTGCATCAAAGGTCATACGAGCAACTTTTGACCCTATGACGTAAGACACTTGATTAACCAATCAGCATTGTTGTTTCTAGTGGATTACCCACAGTTCCGTACACATCACGTCAAAAGCTTGCTGTAACAGACCGTTTCATTGGCTAATTACTCACATCATCCACAACACGTCAATGATAACAACTCTTCCAGATCCTAGTGTAGTAAAGACAAGTAAAACAAAATTTTGAACTATAAAAAACGGAACAAAATAGGATCTGTGTTTTAATCACATTGCAGAAACAATATGGTATGCAAATAGTTTGTGACAATAATATGTGACAATAGTATATGCAAAAATATGCAAATTTTATCCACATGACAATAGTATCTGCAAAATTGTAGGATTTGATACAATTCAGAACCGTATATAATCTATAATATATATTTCAGACGTGAACCAGGTCTGCACTAGAGATCACAACTTAGATGATTGTTACTTGAAAGTAGAATTATTAGACCAGTCAAACTATTCCGATAAAGGTGTATGTAGTTCAGATTCGGACAATGATGATGACGATGCCAAACCGTGTATTAAAGTCAGTGGTTGTACAAACTTAAAAAAACTAAAGAAGTACATAAGGAATAAAGATAAATTTGGCGTAGCTGTTGATAGCATTGAAACGGTCCGAGAAGAAATGTGTATTTACGTTAGTTTATCCACTAAAGAAGGTAATTTACATTTAGAAATATTGCTTTTTTGTTTTATGATTTTTAAAATGAGGACAAAGAAAACCAATGTATATTAATTTGAGCCCAAATTGCTCTTTTCTTTGTCATCTTGACCACCCCCACTGTTTACTACCTTGGTAATAGTCAGGTTAAATATTTATTTATATATCAATGTATAAATGTTTTAGTAAAACAAACCAGCAGTGGTATTTCTTCATCTTTCAGACATTATTGTTTGTCAACCTATTATTTAATGACTTATAGTAAATTTATTTTTATATCATGTATCATGTGGACATATATTGTTGTAGCCCCTGTCCGATCATCTGTCCGGACGTATGTCTGGATGTCTGTCCACAATTTATTTGTGGACACTCTACAGCTCACAATTTTTATCTGATTTTAACGAAACTTGAAATATAGGGTTATCTCTTAAAGATCCTGATTCCTTTCGATATTAGCATGTATTGGATCAAAACTTCATGGATTATGGCCCCTGATTGTACGAAAAAACAATTTTTAGCTTGTGGACACTCTAGAGGTCACAATTTTGATCCGATTTTGATGAAACTTGAAATCTATGTTTATAACCCAGAGATTTCAATTCCTTTTGATTTTAGCGCATATTGGACCATAACTTCCTGGATTGTACGAAAAATCACTTTTTCTTTTAGCTTGTTTACTGTCCATCTCTTGCAAAATGTGAGCATATCTTGCATGGCAACCGCTTGTTGCCCCCCGCCTTTCGAAGAAAGCAGGGGACTATTAAAATGGGTTCGTCCATCTGTCTGACTGTCCATCACAGAATGTTCAAACTTGGTGTAGGTCTTTATTATGTCAATACCTTGATGGAGTTCGAAGATGAGCATTTTCTGCTTAGGGTAAGCAGAGATAAGCAATTTGATTGGTTGATGCTTTGGGACACAATAACTTTAGTTCTAATTAAGTGAGAGTGATGAAACTTGGTGTATAGTTTCTTTACATCAATACCTTGACTAAGTTCAATAATGAGCATTTTCTGCTCAGGGTAAGCAGAGCGATAAGCAATTTGATTGGCCGATACTTTGGAACAAAATAACTCTCTTTCTAATTGAGCTAGAATGTTCAAACTTGGTTTAGGTCTTTATTATGTCAATGCCTTGATGGAGTTCGAAGATGAGCATTTTCTGCTTAGGGTAAGCATAGATAAGCAATTTGATACAATTACTTTAGTTCTAATTAAGTGAGGGTAATGAAACTTGGTGTATAGTTTCTTTACATCAATACCGTGACTAAGTTCGAAAATGAGCATTTTCTGTTCTGGGTAAGCAGAGCGATAAGCAATTTGATTGGCCGATACTTTGGAACACAATAGCTGTCCTTCTAATTGTGCTAGAATGTTCAAACTTGGTGTAGGAGTTTATTATGTCAATGCCTTGATGTAGTTGGATGATGAGCATTTTTTGCTTAGGGTAAGCATAGATAAGCAATTTGGGGAACGATAACTTTAGTTCTGGTTATGTGAGAGTGATGAAACTTGGTGTATAGTTTTATTACATCAATATCTTGAATAAGTTCGATAATGAGCAGTTTGATTGGTCAAGACTTTGGAACACAATAATTCTTATTCTAAATGAGCTAGAATGTTCACACTTGGCGTACATGTTTATTAGGTGAATTCCTTGATGAAGTTTGAAGATGAGAATTTTCTGCTTGGGGTAAGTAGAGTGATAAGCAATTTAATTGGTCAAGACTTTGAAACATAACAACTCTGCTTTTAATTGTGGTAGAATGTTTAAACTTGATGTAGATGTTCATTAGGTGAATGTCTTGACTGAGTTCAATAATTAGCATTTCGAGCAAAAGCTAAGCAGAACTAAGCAATTTCATTCGTCGATGCTTTGGGGCAAGATAACTTTGGTTCAATCTGATAGGGAGTGATGAAACTTAGTGTATAGTTGATAATCAGTTTGATTGCCCGATATTTTGAAAAAAATAAATATGCGATTAATTAATATGTGTCATCTATTTATTTTGCGATTTTGGCGGGTGAAATCAGCCTTACTTTTGGCTTATTGAATTAGTCATGTATTGATGCAGAAGCTTTTATGTTATTATTTTTTTTAGATATAGACACGGTTTGTAATACAAGCCACACTGTAGACAATTGCCCGTTATTGGTTGAAATCTACAAGACTCAGAAATCATCAGTCACAGACCTTGGAAATTGTCAAGAATCAAATTTAAAAGAGGGTGTTGATACGAATAAGACAAAGTTGAGAAAAGAAGATGCATCATCTAATATTGAACAGTGTGTCATGGCTTCTAATCTTAAATCTGAAGATGTTAATTTATCTAATACAAAACAAGAAAATGGAGCATCAAGTAAAATTAAAAGTGAGGATGAGTGTGTGGATATCCCAGATGCTGAAGATCAACACTGTGATAAATGTGTTTGTGTTCAAATAAGTGGATATGGCGCATCGGTATCTGAACAAAAATTGACAGTGTATATAAAAAACAAGAGAAAATTTGGTGCTGCACCTAAAGATATTAAATTTGATTCAGATGACAATTGTGTTTATGTAACACTTGCGTCGAAAAAAGGTAACAAAAGCTTTAGGGAGTACGATGTTGAATTTCTTTTGTCTCATAAGCTTCCAAAAATTAATACATGTATATTAAAAGGGTATCTTGCAAATATAATACTACAATTGTCACTTATTTTTATCATGTAGTCAAAACATATGACCCAATAACACAAATATGCATTATTATAATTTAAGATGCTGAAAACGTATGCAGTAGAACTCATCAAGTTGGTAACTATAAAGTAAATGTTAAACTTTATACTCCACCACCCCAACTGAATAACAGATTACTGGTTACTAATATTAGTCAGGAAACAAATAAAGAAATGCTACAGAATTTTCTGGAAGGGAAATTTGAAATTGAGATATTGAATATAGTCTATAATGATGAAGCTGACAAGGCGATGATAAGTTTTGACGAGAATGAAGTTACAGGTGGGTTGTTTAAAGAGTTTTAACTATCAAATGTCACAATGATAAATTATTTATTAATCCACACCTTTTCTTTGAGCATCTGTAAGTCTTGGTTTATGTTATTTGTAAAAAAATAATAATACTTTGAGCAGTAATATAATGGCCTATTAGAATTTAGCTAAACCAAAATTATACAAAGGAATAAAGTGGTGCATGCAGCCTTTGGTGTAATGTAAAACAAACATTATGAAGTATTACGACTTGATTATTGCCTAGACCAAGAAATGTTTTCGTTCTTAATTTGGGAAATAGCTTTTTAGAACCATTCCTTTAAAACTGGAGATGATCCAGAAAGATGAAATTAATTCTTTGATTTGATTGATTTGTTATAAATACTGCTATATAGAAAAATTACCTTGTATTCCGATAAAATCTTTGCCATGTTATACTTTTGCAGATCTGTTTTCCACAAATACATATACATTTAAAGGGATTTTTTTTGTGCATAAGATTTAATAAAATCTCTTTCTACTTCCTATCTAGTTGATGAAATTCTCTGCAAAGTGGACATGTTGAAAGGCCCATTAAATTATCTTGATGGAAAGCAACTTCATATATCAACCATTAATACCAGTAAAACAGCTAAAGTTAAACAACATGGAGTTAAACTAGATGAAGATGATTTGACTAATTGTTTCGAAAGCTATGAAGCTAATATTAGTCGAATTGAAATGAACGATATAGATAACTTTGCATTGGTCCATTTTGAAACCTACGATGGTAACTATACTTTTGTAATAAGTGAATTACAAGCTTTTTTGATGATAGATCATATTGTTTGAGTTGCTTGGCCAATTGTTTTATTTATTTATTTTTTTTTGTTTCTCCAGGACGTCCACTAAAAGTTTTTTTTATAAAAAGAAATTAAAACTGGTCAGTGTTGTCTCCCTCCCGATCGTATTGCTCTATCAATTGTCTTGAACGTTGCTCGAGATAAACCTAACAGAGGCAGCGAAATAACACTTACCTGTATTACTTTGTTATTAATGAAATTATACTTTATATATATTGGTAGATTTAAAAAAAGTTTTGGCAAAGTCTCGTGAGGACAAGGAAAATGAACTAGAGGTAGAAGTTTATCAGAAGTGTTTGGGAAAATCTGGTGGTATTAAAGATCCTGATGTCTTTATTTTACCAACTCCAGTAAACGTCACTCTAACTGGTCCTGACTCGCATAAAGTATTGTTCATTTATCAATCTAAAACCAATAAGCAACAACTTTGTGACAAGTTGGCAGAATACAATATTCTTGTAGAATGGAATAAAGATAAACCAAGGGATGTTCAACTGTCTTGTACTGTTACCAAGGATATGAAAGATGCCAGAAAGTTAACTAAAATTTGGACAACATTATGTGAGATAAATTTTAGAAAATTTCTTGATGGTATCCAACTAAAAGTAATACCTATAGCAAATCCTAAGGTAATATCGTTTCAGTCATATGTGACAGTCCTGACCTACTGGAAGTGTAAATGACCGACTAGCGATTTAACATGTACATTTGTCCATGTATATCAAAATGAGTCAGAATGCACAAAATTTAATTTTGGACTGGAGACAAAATAAGTGAAAATATTGATTTTGATCGAAATTGAGATTTTCACAAAAATGAGTCTATAAATATAATATCTATCGACACAAAAGATCAAAATAGCAATAAAAGATTTTAGAACACCTTTATTTGAACGTTTTGTAAGAGTACCGTATTCTTAAATCTGTCCTATTTCTTAAAATTCTTTGCGAAATTAGTTATTTTTCTTCGCTCGCAACGAGATGACCGGTCATTCCTCTTGCATAATAATTGGCATCGTTGTAAAGCGGAGAATCTCTAGTTTACAGATATGATCAAAATATTGTCGATGAATTGATTTTGAATGGATACAATCAAGTTTTAAAACCCCTAAAAAATATAAACAAACTCTGCTTGTTGCTATGCTGTCTACACAACTTGTTTGCTGATTGGCCCAGACACCGCATACAAAGCATTATGGTTACATGGCTGGCTTGAGCGGGCGATAAATATTTGGTTTTGGCAATAATGTTTTTGGGTACCTACATGCGGTTCACTCTGGTAAGTGGCAGAAAAAAATTAATTCTGATCGTATATACATGTAGATTGCCATTGAGTGTTAATCAAAACCATGTGGCTGATTATGTAAATTAATCGACAAGCGGGTGTAAGTCATTGAGTAAAACTAATCAACTGTCACGGATCAATGATAAAGCAGTCGACAACTTATTATTTACTCCGAATAATTAATCCAAGCGGTGATTATTTGATATCTCATATCATCTTTAAAAAAATAATTAATAGGCCTTAAATGAAAATAAACAAAATGGCCAATAATTTTTTTTTCAAGGAGAATTATATTGATAGCTGAATTCCGTTTACTGTCGCTTCTTTATACAGCATGCAAAGTAAGAAATGCATCTTGGATATTTGTAGAAATATTGTCGTTGCGACATTGTTTTCAAATTTATAGACAAGGAATAGAGAAAAATGATGGCATTATATTGTATTAATTAATATCTTTGGCAAGTTATTAGATTCACATATATGTGGTATGTACTTAAATCAACTTAGTGAATGAATGAAATATTGTTACATAAAAAAAGAGTCATAATGTGCTAAACATTCAATTCTAGTTGATAACATATATCTTGTGGGAAGTTTCTTCGGTATATTTCCATTTTCCATATTAATATCTTTGGCAAGTTATTAGATTCACATATATGTTGTATGTACTTAAATCAACTTAGTGAATGAATGAAATATTGTTATATAAAAAAAGAGTCATAATGTGCTAAACATTCAATTCTAGGTTGATAGCATATATCTTGTAGGAAGTTTCTTCGGTATATTTCCATTTTCCATATAAGGGTGGGTTTCGACTTCATTAGCCTAAATTGACCAATCTCTTTGATAATTTACATCATATTTGACCAATTGGATAATTGAACGTCAAAACCCAAGCTACAAAACAATCATACTATGCTTGTATCTATGTGTCCAGCTATGATATATAAAATGTAAAAACGAACTGTTGCATTGTTATTTCTGGGAAGACAAACGTCTTAAGAAAACAGTAAGAATAGAAAATAAACTACGTGAAAGGGAAGCATTGACAGCTAGAGACAAATTCTAGACGAACACAAGGCTACTAAGATATGTAGTAAGAAAAGATGCATGGGTCATACGTAGGATGTGGCGACCAGTTTGACAATGTCCGCTCTCCACATCTGACAGAAAGGCCCATGGTGCTACATATTATTGTTTAAAATTGCTTTATCACCATGGGTCGAAAAAATGAGAATGGCCAACAAGCCAAAATGCGACGATTCTCGAGTATTCCATTGTTTAATTACATCAAAGCCAAAATGCACGAAAGAGAACGTAAGCATTTCTTGACTATGAAATTGACATTTCTATAGGGACTCATATTTTGATAACGTTACGGTACCTGAAAATAATAATAGACCAATCGTACATGCAAAATCTTACTTCAATTCACGTGTTAAATGAACACGCGTAAAGCTGTGGCAGCTTGCTTGATGATTATCTAATCAACAATCTTAATCTCCTGACCACTAGCTGGCACGAATGTGCTAATTAATTGATTAGAATCACCTAAGTTATAATATACAAAACAGACTACTAATGTATAGATTGTTCTTCAATATAACACTATCATGTGAATATGCCGCATGTGTTGTGGATGTTTCGTTATGAAAATAGTACATTTACTACGATTTTCGTCGTCAGCACCCTTGAAAGCCTAAATAAAAAAATATTAAACGACAAAATAGCAAATAATTGGCGGAAATCGTTGGATCAGATTTTTTCTACGGTTTTCATCTTCAGCACCCCTGAAAACCCATGGAAAGATATATTCAACAACAAAACAGCAAATAAATGGCCTGGTTGCTATGGGATTTTGTTTTGGAACGTACCAAATCTTTGACTTGCTTTTTCTCAAAACTTACTTTTATGAGTTGAGTAGCGTCAAATGGACACAGCTCAGTCAATTTTTGCTTAATTCAAACAAACTATACATCAAATTGAACAATAACAATATCCTCATTGCGACTCAGTATGCCATGGGGGGTCACATTTGATTGCCATGAATTAGAATTTAACCTTAAAGCACAATAAATTCAATTAGTTTTATGGTTTTAATGTGTTAGAAATTTTAAAATATATAGAAAAAGCGGGATAATGATACAAAAATTTCAAGTGAAAGCCTCAATTTAGATGCATTCAGATTAAGAAAGCCTTAAACAATCCCAGTGAACAATAATTGCAATATGATTTGTAAAGGAAATAAAATGCATATTATCATCTTTATTTTCTTTTTTCCCCCAGGTTTTGGAATTAGTGTCAAAAGAAACAAAGATTTCAAATAAGGATGATGTCATTATCATGAAAGAATCAGATTCAGTTTCATCTATTATCGTGGTTGGCCAAGATGCACCTCAGTTCAAAGAATTGACATCCACTGTTCAAAATACTATACACAGAATTGAAGAAGAATTGAAAAGACAGCAAGAGGAATGCACACAACCTATGGAACTTGAATATCCCTCCTCTACCCTTGAGACCTTTGGGGTTATTGATCGCATCAAAGGAAAACATGAACTTTTAAATTTTACACTAAAACCGGCTGAAAAGAAGATTGTATTCAAAGGCATAATGTCTGAAATAATGTCAGCAAAAGCCACTATACATGAATTCTGGCAAAATCTGAAAGTTACTGAATTAACAGGCTTAGCAAACCCGATTGTAGAACTATTATTGAAACAAGATGTTCGTGACCACATAATGAACCAACTCAAAACACAGGAACACAAAAGAGTGGTTTGGGAAGGAAACGGAAACAATACCTCAGTGATTGTCTTTGCTGAAAATGATGAAAACTTAAAAAGAATAACAGGTCTGCTTAATACTGTCTGTGTCAATAAACTTATTGATGTTGACTCAAAGATATCAGATCTACTTGCTGGATCAGCGTGGAATGATCTTATCAAAAATATTGAAGCTCAATACCCAAACCTAGTGAAAGTTAATGTCATCGATAACAAGTATATATCATTAACTTCCATCTCTGAGGTATTCAAGCTAATTGAGGACCCTGTTTCTGATTTCATCAAAGAAAATGTACGGTGCGTAGAAACTTTGAATTGCTCTAAAGGACAATTTGACTTAATGAATGGCAATTTAAAAAGTGATGTAGATAAGCTAATGTCAGATTTGAGAGCTGATAAAATTGATGTTAAAATGTCACAACTAATAGGTATTAGAATAGAAGGGCCGCAAGAAGCTGTAGAAAGAGGAAGTGAGACACTAAGTAGCTTCATGTCAAAGATTAAATGCAAGGACAAAACTGTAACCAAGCCGAGTGAATTAAAATTCTACAGATCTGATAAAGGCAGAGAGGCCATAACTACAACACAGAAAAAGTTCAAATGTTTGATTAAAAATTCAGATGAGGCAGTTGACATCAACACCATCTTCCAGTTGAGGAAAACGAAAATCCATGTTATAAACGGTGATATTACAGATTCGAAGGTCGATGTCATAGTAAATCCTTCCGATAAAACATTGAATCACAGTGGCGGGCTTGCAGATGCTATTGTTCGAAAAGGTAAATAGATGACACAGGGCTAGAAATTCGTCACTTTTTGCGAGAATCTAAGAGGATTCTCATATATGGAATCTGCGCGAATCCTCTGAATTTTAATTAATAATACTGTCTAAAAAACAAGATTGTATTTATTGTGTTAATCTAAAACACCAAAATACAACAACAGTGATAAAAAGAACCCAATCAGATGGAGTTTTTGGTAGGTAAACACTTAAATTGTGTCAAAGGAATATCCAGAAAATGCCGTAGTCAAAATAAGCTGATACAGCACCATGGCATTTCTTCATAGCACAATTTGTAGTCTTTTGTCCATCACGTAACTAGTCATGTAACATGCAAAAGTTTTTATTCATTCGTCGATGATAGGCAAACGGCACAATGATCATGTGACAACCATAACTGAAATTGCTATAAAATAAAATTCTGTACGACTATGATATAGCCTTCAATAATATTTTTAAAATTAAGTCTCTGTCAGTATGTATATAAAATAAAAAATCATAAAGGTAAACGCTTTTTAGAACTGGTTTATGGACCTAATTACAACCGATATGTCACGTGTCATTGGAATTCGGCATACGCAATTCTGTTGGGAAAATATCCACTGTTTCTCTCTCTGTGTAATCGGTGTTCTATCCATGGATTATATTCAATGAAAATTTAAATTTACCTTACAACTGGTCAGTGAATCCATCAAATTATGATCCAGTTATTATTTTAATATCTGCCAGTGCCTGGAATTCACACGAATGGAGCGTGGAAGATGCACGATTCGCAAACCATGCCGAGATTGTCTTCTTTCACCACGTGGCGTATTTTACTGAACCTATTATGAATTATCAGCAAGCTTGTTTTGTTACCGGATTATCCAAATCACCGTTAAATGTGCTAATTACTCGGATTATGAACCACATATGGGGGATTCTCACTATGGTATGACTGTTGTTATAGCCGACACTTCTTTATTAACAAGTAATAACTAATGCGTTGTAATATTAGCCAAAAGTAGATTGATTTATTATACCATGTGGCCGATTCATTGTTTTACCAATCGGCTAGATTAAACATCAGTCGGCTAAAACCCACAAAATACACCCGGACTGACATTCAACAGTTTGACTCGACAATTCTCCGAGATTTTTAAGAAAAATTTTACACGAATCCTTATAGATTCATAGCGTAAGCTCTTGCGAGAATCCTTGCGTGAATTAGATTCAGAGATTTATGTGAATTTCTAGCCCTGTAACATTGATATAATCGAAAACTATTATTGTAAAAGGTAGCCTGGATTCCATTTACCTACAATGCATATACATTAAACCATTATTTAAATAGATTACATGTGTATAGTATAGTAAACTATTGTTTTAAGAAATATATTCATAATACAGGAAATGGGATGTAACAAATGTGCATCTTCTAAAAGACAGAAATACTTATGTTTCATACATGTAATTTTATTTATATGAACATTATGAATTTTTTTTCTTTTTGTTCAAGGTGGCAACATTATTCAAATAGAGTGTCAGAAATATGTCCGTTCTCATGGTAGCCTATCAGATGGCGAATGTATAATGTCTAACCCAGGGAATCTTTCATGTAAACGGATTATTCACACTGTTGGACCCAAGTGGCATGATGGAAAGTCAGACGAGGTTAATGTTTTGAAGGATACCATTTTAAGAGTGCTTGAGATGGCTATGACCAATGCTTATACTTCTGTGGCAATGCCAGCAATAGGTACAGGGCTATCTGAGTTTCCTTTTGATCAAGCTTCAGTTGCTATAATAAATGCTATTGGTCATCACTTTGAACGAGTACCCAATTCACCAATTCATACCATTTATCTTATTGACAAACAACAAAAACCTCTTGAACACATCATCGCAAATCTTCAAGAAAATCCAGTTTTTAGACAAATATCTTCCAATGAAAGACAAGCAAGACATGTGGCACACAGCAGTCAACCAAGAAGTAGCACCCAAAGTAAGAATATCACGACTATAACATGTTATTATTGTAATATACTATTACTGATTGTCTGTTAATTTAAGAATTATTGGTTCCTGTTTGGCGATTATTAGAAGTAATAACTGCCAGTTACTGACAAGTTGTAAATGTGCTACAGGCTAGTCGAGAATTCAAGATCTTTTCCACAAATTGGAATGATTTTCATCATTCTCTGTTTGTCCGTCTGTCCATCCATCGGTCAACAATGTGATAGATGCCAAAGTTTTAATGATTCATTTTCTTCAAATTCGATGTGAAGCATTGGGATAATGAAAGGATGAGCCCTATTGATTTCCTTTTTCTCTGTTCATCTCTTGGAAAATGGGGGCGTATCTTGCAAATACAATTTGTACTAAAGCAGTAGCCCAATGTTACAAAGTGTGAATAGTGCAATCGGCGGGTGCAAGGCAACGTTTGTAAGGTTGGTGGTATAAGTTTATAAACAGAATAATAATTTTGCATGATTGATCGGGGTCTAGAAAGATGACTGTTTCATTGCTTGAGATGTGGGAGATGTAATCGCCAAAGGTGGGAGAGACTATGTGGATGCTATAGAAGCTAATGTTATCATCCAATTGAATTTATACACCATGTTTAAGTTCATGACATGAAGAAAACTACTGATTTTCCAAAACATTACTATCTTGTTTATGAAGCTTGACTAATTTTAAATTAGATTAAATCGGTTTGTAGATTTCCATAGTATGTTTTGACTCCACACAAAGACTGGCTTGTTTTCATTTTATAAATTAATAACGATATTTGTACATTTAAAAAATGCCAGACAACTTAATTGTTGGTTGGCGTATATCGTCGTCTGTCCTTGTATCCTACGTTAACTGTTATATAACATACAAAATACAAGGTCAGGGGCGTCGTGCAAAATTTTTTTTCGGGGGGGCCCAATTTTCTGCAAGTGTGTTCATGGTAAGTTAAATTTACTGGCCGCGGAGCTTGTGGGTGGCAGGGCCGCCCCACATCGAATGCCGTAGGCATGAACATGCAAGGGGGGTCCCTCTCCCGGAATTTTTTAAAATTAGAAGCCGGGAAACGCCATTTCGATGGATTAGAGACAATAAAGTTATGATTGAAAAATGGTCGGTTTTTTTTTTAGTGATAATTGTAATTTATCACTCGAAAATTGAATTATATTTTATTCATCTCAACTTAGATTTAATTATTGAATGGACATTTCGAACAACTTCATGCAAAACCCCATTCCTTCCTCCACCCCAACCTCTGCCAGGGTTATGCCATTTATGGTCAAATACGTATTTAGATGTATTTGTATTTTGATAAAAAATACTTTCAGCTTTATTTTTGACACCCGTATATTGATATTTTATCAAATACAACATACAATCATAAATAGAGATTTTCTAGCTACAGCAAACTCTTAACTCCCGGAAATTTTAGATCGAAATGATATGATAGAGTGTACGAAGCGAGGCCGCTGTTGAGCGAGGCCTTATGACATCTAAACTAAAGTGCAATAAACTAAACACAGATAATGACAAATTATACAATTCCTGGAGACCATGTGATGACTAAAACAGACGGACAGGTCTTCTGTCTTAATAATATCAATAAAAATATTTTTATTTCCCTGAAAATTTGGGGGGGCCCAGGCCCCCAATGGGCACGACACCACTGTACAAGGTCCCTAGAAAAACCTTATAACATTAATGTTTCTGTACTTCAGTATATTAAATAAAGGTTTGTATTTTCTTTTCAGAACAAATCGGCCCACCAACAGAACAAATCTTACATACTGTTAAAAACGAAATTGCAAAGGTGAAGGTGAGAGTTTTAGAATTAATTCCATATCCGTCACTAACCAAAATTATCATAAATGCAACCCAATTTAACTCTGTATTTCAATCACTGAGTAAGTCCTACTACTTTAGATGGGCAAAAAATAGAAGAAAACAAAATTAATAACTGTATACCTCATGAAGATAGCATACTAAAAAGTCTCCACATTTACACCTCTGTATAATTGTGATAGTAAAAAAAGATGTAATTGAATCAATTGTCTAAACTACGGTTTTGTAATAATATTCTTAATCGCAATATGCACGGGAAATGAAATGAAATGGGGTTTAACGTCCTACTGTTCTGCTCCGAACTGGGCTAATGAAGACGAGCATACGTCATACAGTGTGCTATGAGGGAAATTTTGCCTGGACAGTGGCACTATGGCCTACTCTTATATCAAATTCCAACTGTCAATGGATTTTTTATATAAATGCCAATGGGTACACGAGACCTCGTTTTTTTGTGCCATCCGAACGACTAGACAGCTGTCCTTGTTAGGCGCAAAACCTTAAAAAAAATTTTTTAAACTAAATAAGATGAGGTTCTAGCAGTAAAGGATCTTAGGTTCCTGACAGTACCAACTTTTAACATCTCTTTTAAATGTTGTCTTACCTCTTGAAACATAGCATGTGGAATGCGACTTTATGTATCCTTAAAAGAAATGTTTTACTCATCTCTAAAAGAGTGCTTCACCAAATTATCATTACCTAGTTTCATAAAAGCAGTTGTTTATCTTTCAGTAATTGTTCATTTGCCAAGCTATCAGATTCAATTTTCATACCATCTTCAACTTCCTTGGAAGTGGCATCAATTGACCAGGAATGCACGTGCAAAACGTGTGACATGGGACTGCTTAAAATCGTGAAAAAAGACAAGTGTTGCGTTCGCACGAAAAAAGTTCATTACCGAGAACTGATATTGGATTCAAACCCAGAACTCCACAAAAAAAAGAGACCCATCACAAGTTTCACCTATGTGCCATAAGATAGGAAAGCCCAAGAAAACGTTTACCAGAAATATTTCACGAATTAGGCATTGTGTTTTTAATGGCTTTTAGTGTATATTACAAACCCTAACATGTCTCAATCAACTCACGCCTTGTCTGTATACTGATCTGCTTACAAAGACTAGAATTTGGTTGTAAATTGGTGAAAATTGCACAAAAAAGACCTTATGCCCTTACTTTTCGAAACTATTTCTGGAGTAGAACCACATGGGTTGTCAAATCCTGGGAATATGTTTTAATGGAATGAATCTTAAGTACAAAATCAAAAACCAAATAAGTAATGAGGCTGACTGTGCGGACCCCCCCCCCCCCCCAAAAAAAAAAAAACCACATTAGATTAATTCAGCACACTGAAATGTCACTTGCTCTGAAGTACTTGTATGAAATTTAATTGAATTTCATTTTAGCCACCCCGAAGAAGTTGAAAACGTAATTTGTTTACCTCAGCGTAGAGACATGAGTTAAAAATAGCCCTGACAAAATATTTCCATTTTCTACCAATAGGAAACACTATATAATTGCAGGCTGATGTTATTGTGAATTCTACATCGTCAAAGCTGGAACTTAAAGCGGGTGCTGTATCTGGATCCATTTTAAGAGTAGGTGGTGCAATTCTTCAAACAGAATGTGATCAGAAATATCCAAATGGAATCGGAGAAGGAGACATTGCTGAAACTGGATCTGGTAACCTTCAGTGCAGACAAGTTTACCATACGTGTCTGAGACACTATTCTGGTATTTCCGAGGAAAAGGTATAGTTATATAATCTACTACCCTAGGCCTTTTACTAATAAAAATTATTGTCATTAAATCATACAAGTGATTATCAACCTAAACTAAAGTGGTTAGAAAGTATACGATAGTAGCCTAATTAATTAGCAGATGCGTAACTAGCTGTAAAAGATGCCACAACTTGATTAATAGCATGACTAATTCTAATATGGTCACTACTGAATACAAACCTAACCAATAGTGGTGTGTATCAGTCAATAGTCAAGTTTTTAACACTTCAGTGACATAACACCTGCCTATGAATACTGCTTCACCTGTTTGGAGGAGCCATGGTGGTTAGTGAGTAAGACGTTGACTTGCAAACCTGGATGTCCCGGTGTTTGCCAAGAAAGTTCATCAGGATTTCCGGTGTGGTTCCCACTATTAGTCGTGTAGGACGGAGGGCCTGGTAAGGGACAATGTATATGAATGGTAAGAAAAAAACGAGTCCCCTTATAGACATTGCTGTGTGTGAAAAATAAACCTTAACAGTTGGAATTCAAAACTATTATTTTTATCATAGCGTACACTGTATGGCGTATTCCCGTCTTCATTTATTTTCATTTATAAAAGTTTTTTACACACAAGGCAAAGATGTCAACCTTATGCATTGTATTTGTGTAATCTATTTTGATTAGAGCTAATTAATTGACTCCAGTTGTCGTCACATATGACTGTCCATCGGGGATTATTCTGTTTTGCGTGTGATTTACTAAAGAATATGGTCTATTTTACAAGAAAAGCTCAAAACGCGATTGACTCATTCGCATCCAGTTAATCTAGTTTTATAGAAAACTTTATGAATCAGAATATCTTCCGACTACATCGATTTTGATTGCAGGTTTTGCAAAAGTCTTACAGACTTACGAATTATTGCAGAATTTGAATTGCATAGCTTTTATTCTTTCCATATAAAGGAATTGGAAAAACTAATACACAAATGTCTTGAAAGAGCACAGAAAGCTGGCTACACATCAATTGCCTTCCCGGCTATTGGAACCGGAAACTTGCGTTTTCCTCACAATGTTGTAGCAAGGATATTTTACAAGGCAATAAATGATTATAAATCACATGGAGGCTCTCTTCAGAATATAACTATAGTCATTTATCCTAGAGATCTACAAACTATAAAGGTAAGGAAAACAAGGCACTTAGTATCTGATTATTTTTTATAACTTCCCAGTTTCTGAAGCTGTGCATTTTATACACCCCCATTGATTTGACGTTGATTTACAGTGTTGAGAAGAAGAATCCCATTGATCTGCAACGAAAAGCTTGTGGATGACCCATATCAAATTGACATAATTAATTTTCAACGATTTCCTATAATTTCTGTCCTTAATGGCCCTTAATCACATAGAAAATCTTGTGGATGCTATATAGAGACTAACTTTAACATCTGACTGACTTGATATTTTTACATAGTGTTTAATTGCATAAGCCAAAGGAGCTAAGTTTCGAAGAAAGCAGGGGACTATTAAAATGGGTTGTCTGTCTGTCTGTCTGTCCGTCCATCGATCACACTTTTTGGGACACAATAACTCTCTTTCTAATTGAGCTAGAATGTTCAAACTTGGTGTAGGTGTTTATTAGGTCAATGCCTTGATGGAGGTCGAAGATGAGCATTTTCTGCTTAGGGTAAGCAGAGATAAGCAATTTGATTGGTTGGAAATTGGAACATGATAACTTTAATTCTAATTAAGTGAGAGTAATGAAACTTGGTGTTTAGTTTCATTTTCTGCTCTGGATAAGCAGAGCGATGAGCAATTTGATTGGCCGAGACTTTGGAACCAATAACTCTCATTCTAATTGAGCTAGAATGTTCAAACTTAGTGTAGGTGTTTATTAGGTCAATGCCATAATGAAGTTTGAAGATGATCATTTTCTGCTAAGGGTAAGCAGAGATAAGCAATTTGATTGGTTGATGCTTTGGGACATGATAACTTTACGTGAGAGTGATGGAACTTGGTGTATAGTTTCATTACATCAATACCTTGACTAAGTTCGATAATGAGCATTTTCTGCTCAGGGTAAGCAGAGCGATAAGCAGTTTGATTGGTCGAGACTTTGGAACACAATAACTCTCATTCTAATAGAACTAGAATGTTCACACTTGGCGTGGGTGTTCATTAGGTCAGTGCTTTGATGGAATTCGAAGATGAGAATTTCTGCTTAGAGTGAGCAGAGATAAGCAATTTGTTTGGTTGATGTTTTGGGACACAATGACTTTCTAATTAAGTGAGAGTGAGCGAACTTGGTGTATAGTTTTATTACATCAATACCTTAACTAAGTTTGATAATGAACATTTTCTGTTGAGGGTAAAAGCAGAGCGACAAACAATTTGATTGATAGAGAGTGATGAAACTTAGTGTATAGTTGTTAATCAGTTTGATTGCTCGATACTTTTGAAAAAAAAATGTGTGATTAATTAATATGTGTCATCTATTTATTTTGCCATTTCGGCAGGGGACATCAGCCGCACTGTTGGCTTGTTTAAAAAAAAACTGTTTAGACTTAAGATGCTTCAGGCATGTTAGTGTTTATGTTCATGAGATGATGAAGATGATTCAAATTTCACTTGTAATTATTTTGAACAGTTGCCCCTGGAGTTACCCTCTTGACTTACAAAACCAAATTAACACTTTAGAGGTCACAGTTACAGTCGGAACTTTAAAGAATTAAGTGTTTAAGCTTACGTGTTTATGCCAAACGTTTTCAGTTGTGGCTCAAAACAATATTGTGAGTACTGTCAGAAAATTATTTTAAACTGCAGGAGCTGTGTCATTAGAAGAACAAATATCTAAATTTAGAAACTAACGTCTATTTATATTTTGCAATTATTGCCTTGGTTGGCATATATTTGTTGTTTGGCAAAATTATGTTAATGAAATGTATTGACTTTTCAGGCCTTTGAAAATTTATTAAGTAATAATGAAGAACACAGAGTGAAAGACAGGAGTGGTATGGTCATAAATTTAATATTTATGCTCACTTGTTTTCCTTTAGAAGAACGATCTCTCTGAAGATTTTAGTAAACAAGACTTTGCTAAATACAATCTGCTTGGGTCTAGGCATCTGTCACACGATAACTAATAAAAAAAATAACCAAAATAAACTAAAAGACCCCCCCCCCCCTTTCCCTGATGAAAAAATAACCTAACGAGAAACTTAATAATGGGATTAATGCAAAATGTTAACAAGTGCATTATACTTTCAGTTAAAGGAGCAGAAGGTTTTACGACATTAACCGGTCCTGTCACAGTATCAGGCAATGATTTAAGCCAGGGAGTATATATTGGTAAACTCCTCCTTAAAGTGAATCGGGGCGATATTCTTAAAGTAGGAGTTGACGCCATTGTTAATGGTTCAAACCGTTCTTTAGATTTATCGAAAGGTGAGATCAAGTCCTAATTGCCGATAAGACATAATTCTTACACATGACATTTCTATACATATAAAATAAATAATAATATAAGAAAGAGAATCGCTTCAGTTGAAACAAAGCTGCTGTGTGAGCAAGGCTATCTTTTTAAAACCTTCTTCACAAAGTGTTTGTCTGGTAACTGTATGTATTATATAAGAACCTACACTTATGTAGTGTACATAATGATGATCAATGTTACATTGTCCCTGGATACTTTTTTGACAGGAGTGCACTAGACATAATAATAATTTCAGGAGCAGTATCAGTTGCAATATTAAAAATGGGTGGAAGCGAACTACAACAAGAATATAAAAAAGAAGGTAAAATTGGAACTATATATGAATATTACCATATTGTAAGGTTATCAGCAAAAGAATTCTAATTGTGGCGTAGGTGTTCAGTGATGAGCAAAAGCCACATTGGCTCAGTGACGTAGGTGTTCGGTGATGAGCAAGAGCCACAGTGGCTCAGTGAGTCAGATGCTGGGTCGCTGACTATGAGGTTTCGGGTTGAATCCCTGTATTGGTTGAGAAAGCAACCTCTTGTCAGTGGTGCAGGACGGTGGGTTTGACAAGAACAGTGTTTAATCATCCGGATGGGAAGAAAAACGTAGGTCACGTGTACACATTGGCGTGTATCTAAAACAAACCCAGATAGTTGGACTTGAAATTTCCCACTTAGGACACTGTATATGTTCGTCTTCATTGGCCCAATCAGTGCAGAAATGCAGGACAACAAATCCCATTTCATTTTATTGTGAGGCTAAGCATAGATAAGCAATTTGATTTGTCCATACTTTAGGACATACGTTGTCTTTGAGTAATGAAACTTTGTGCATAGATTGATTATGAGTATTAATACGCACAGTATCTTTTGTTTATTTTGGGTTTGAGGCTGTTAGCGTGTTTTGTTTTAACTGTATTTTTTAGCTGCGATACTTTCAATAAGTTTTTAGTATATGCAAACATATATATTGCTTTTGTTATCTCTTACAGTTCCCACAATGGAAATAAGTGGTATAGCTACTACCTCTGTACCCCCGGGAATGAAATGTAAACATATTATACACATAGATGTCAGTCGATGGGGAAGCGATTTGAAGAATGGCATAATTAAATGTTTGAAAGAAGCAGAAAAAAGGAATTGTGCATCAATAGCCTTTCCTGCTTTGGGAGCAGGTAATAATTACAATCATCATTAAAAGTTGCCAAAAATTATAATAATAAATGAATTCATTTTCTTGGGGGATGCTTCTAAATAAAAATATGTATAATTTATGTGTACATTTACATACAGGGAAAAACCTTTTTAAGTATATCTAAAACATTACAATAGGAATTGGAGCTGGAATAGAAGATGTAGCCAAAGCAGTATTTAATGCTGTTAGTGAAACCAGTAAAGAATTATCACATGTTAACGTTGTTGAGGTGGTCGTCTACCAACAAAGTATGTTGGGTTCCTTCAACAAGACTTTCAAGACATTTCTTAATGAAAACAAGCAGGCAAATAGTGGTGGAGAAATTAGTCGATTCTCATTCACAAGTAAGAATCTTATGATTTAGCCTATATAAGTTACTTGAATGGTATTTTAAGGACGAGGATACTTAAAGATTTTTTGCATTAATCCATATCCTCTTGGACACGGTTTATGTAATCATGCTCGTCTGTATTCGTCATGGCAGTAGTTTTATATTGTTGTAATAAGTAAGAAACTGGCCCACTAAACCTGGTCTCTAGCTTGGTCCCGGACCCGGTGGTGTTGGCCTAAAAAGTTCTGGCATGTTTCCCTGTGTTAGTGGTGCAGGAAGGAGGGACAATTGACGGAGATCTCGTGTATACATTGCTGTGCACGTAAAAAAACCCTTGACAGTTCTAATTCGAAATAAGAGTAGGTCGTACTGCCGCTGTCTCCGCAAAATATCCTCAGTTGAGGTGGGGGGGGGGGAGGCTATTTGACCCCCCCCCCCCCCCAATTTTTGTCACCCAAATTTTCATAATGAATCAATCATAAGCTAAATCAAGTTTTACACAAATGTTATTTGGTTTACTCATAGGCGTAGGAGGCCAATCTCAGTTGGGGGGGGGGGGGGGGGGCTATTTGCCCCCCAAAAAGTTTTGTCACCTAAATTTTCATAATGAATCAATCATAAGCTAAATCAAGTTTTACACAAATGTTATCTGCGTGAGGTCTTAAGTATTTAATTTTATCTGATATATGGTCTCATTCTCTAATGTCTGTGCCCAAAAAACGGAAATACATTGCCCAAAACATGGATGGTTCACCGTATCTTACGCCTATGTATGTACTGGTCGTTCAATGTTTTGTTTGACAAAAAAGGAATGTGTGACGTACGTCATAGTGTGACGTACAACTGGGTGAGAGAGCTAATATTGTTAGATAGGTTTTTCTGTGAGACATATACATATTTAGTGAACAGTATAATCAAAATCCCAAATTATCTAACATTATGAAGATTATTCATGTATCGTATCTGCCCATGCCCAATAATTTTATTGCTCAGTTAGAAGGCAATTATTGTGATAATTATGGGACAATCGAGTTCAGGGGTTAGCTTATATAATTTCCATAGCTACAAACCATATAATTACTCTGTATTGGTCTTATGCTATGAATCGCCCACAGGTCTATTAAAAAAACGCTTGGTGCTTTAAACCTGTGAAATAATGTCTGAAAATACTGTTTCGAGTGCAACCCTCACATCCTTTCTTAGTATGAAAAAACAAAAAGAGTATAACGAGGCTCTGTTCCAATAGATTCAATTTACGGTCATGTCATGATTTGGCCAACAAAACAAGTTTGATATAACAAATTAAACTCAAATTTTGTCAATAATATAGACAATTGAGCTGTTCATTTATTGCTGAGGTGTTCTACATACCAGTTCAGATTTTCATGATTACTCATTTTTTTTCTTAATGATTTTCTACCAGGTGAGTTCAATTACTTTTCCAGATATTTTGTCGAGTATAGGAAGTGCTTTCAGTTCTAACTCCAGTTCACCTCCAAATAGCATGCAGAAACCACCACCAGCATGTAATTATCTTCCATATACAGATAAAAGAACAGACAAGACACCTATAACTTTCCATATTTATTTTTTTGACGAGCATAACACAGGGGAAACAGGCAGGATTGTCTCGACTGAATTGGATGAACTTTATTCTTCGGCAGCATGTCAGAGGAATTATCCGTTGAAGGATCTTAGTTCTGATAAGGTATGGTGGCTTGGTTTTCCCGATAATAATTCCTGAATGAAGTTAAACTCTTTTTAAAAGTCCACATCCAGTTTTCCTTGGTAAATTGACCTGTAGTAGCCTTTATCAATTGGGCATGCGACAACAATCAACTGACCATTTGTATCACCCGTCTTTATCAGATCTCTCGTTGCAGAAAAGTAGGATGTTAAACCCCATTTCATTTAATTTTTGTTTGTAGGATATTTCAGAGTCCTCAGGGATGTTTCACAGTCTTTCCTATATTTTAGTGGGACTAGGATAAACATTTCTCGAGTGGCCCTCCACACTGTGACATTTAGTATGCTTTTTAGTATCCCATGGTCCACAGTCGTCTGTCCACATAATTAACATCTTCTCCAGAACTGCTTTAATGTTTGCTTGGTGGTACTTATTTAGATTTGGTTGCGTAGGGAGAAGATAGTGACACCCTCGAAAATATATAATTTCAAACAATCTTATTCAATGGTCACATTGACTTCTTTGACACGGTAGTAGCCAGTGGTTTAACACCTGCTTCAATAATATTGGACACGATAGGAACTGATCCATTTAAGCTTTAAAAGGAACATGAAATGACCATTTAAACGTGTACTATATACACTTTGCAAGTTAAAAATATAGACCTGCCGTAAAACGATTTTTGCCAATTATCTCTTAATGTCACAAATGCCAGTGACCTTACAGTGGCTACATGAAACAAAGTTAAAATGAACAATTAGACTAAAAGTAAGTCAAAATGGACTTTTACAACTCACCAATCTGATTAAAACACAGATCCTATTTCGTTTCCTTTTTTATGTTTTACTTGTCTTCACTACACTAGGATCTGGAAGAGTTGTTATATAACCTGTGTTCTGCTTGAAGTGAGGGATTAGCCAATGAAACGTTCTGTTACAGCGAGTTCTTGGCGTGCGGTGCATGGAACTGTGGGTAAAACACTAGAAACGTCAACGCTGATTGATTAATCGATGTCTGACGCCATGAGGTCAAAAGACGCTCGTACGACCTCCGACACGACCTTCCACTACAATGGCAGATCTTCATGTAGTGTAGGCCAACAAAAGTTTTAAAAAAAACCCAACGAAATATAGATCTGTATTTTAATCAGATTTACAAGTCACAAAGTACAAAAAAATCCATAACAGATAAATTTTCCTCTGCATAAATCCCACCAGATACCCCTGTTGGCTAGATTAAACTTTTGATGGTTCCTGTCAGCTCTGTATTAGGCCCCTGGATCCATTAAACATGTTGTACTGAATCAAAGATTTGGCATACTATTTTACATGATATCCAACAGAATTCTCAGTGTCATAATGCTTAGTGCATCTAATGAATATGTTAGTCATTATCAGCTAGATCATTAGATCTCTGTTTCAGTTTCGGAATTTGTATCATTATCATCGCTAGACACAGCAAAGGTATATAGCTTGTTTGAAGCATTTTAATCATGAGATGACGAACCCTATTGATATTTAGCGTTCTATGACTTTCGGTTTCAGAGTCCTCAAATTGCTTTCAACATCCAAGTTTCCCTTCAAACAAAGCTGCTTTGCATGGCTATCTTTACTTACATTCGTGAGGTACTTTTCGTATGTAATATAGCTGAATTCTACCCAAACCTGGCTGGCAGTGGGTATTTTATAGTACATTTAAGTAGTCTAATTGTTCATTTGATTATGTTTCCTATGGTACCTCCTAATTTGTAAAACTAGCCCAGAAGTAATTACTGGATGATTTGTTGTTCCCCACCTCTCAAATGGGTTCGTCCGTCTGTCTACCCGCCTGTACCTGTCCGACACTACAACTCTACAAATATACAAGTTGTCTGCGTAGGCCAAGTAGAGATACACAATTTGATTAGTCGAGCCACTGCGTCTAACTGAGGGTGAATGTTCAAATTTGGTGTAGATGTTCATAAGGTGGATGCCGTGACTGAGCTTGTTGATGAGATAAGTAATTTGATTGGTTGACAATTTGGAACAAGATACCTTTGATTCTAATTAGATGAGATTGATGAAACTGGTGTAGGCTATAATTTCCATACATCAATACCTTGACTAAGTTCAACAAAGAGAGAGTTCTACTAATGCTAAGTGCAGACAAGTAATTTGATTGAGTGAGGCTTTGGAACTCAGTAGAATTTTGAACTTGATTACCAACTGAATTTATTATCTGTATCCACCAATTAATACAACGGCATATTCGTATATTTATTTTCTTCCACAGCAAAGAGATGTAGAGAGATTAACAAACAATTTTCCGGTGGAGGTTGAAATAAACCAACATCTTAGGAATGTTAAAGTTCATGGTCTCTCTGATGATATATTAGAAGTACATGAAATTATCATGAGCATGATTGATAATGCTTTCAGAGAAAAAAATGAAGAAGAACATCAAAGAATGCAGAATGGTGTTAAATTGGCAGGTAAGTTTGACAGATTCATTAACTGTAAACATGTAGCCACCCATGTGGAATGTCCCAAAATGTATTGGGCAAATCAATGCAGGACAGATTTCTGTGTGTAATTTTCAAAAACTTTTCGAATTCATAATTTTGGGACTGAGTTCTATATGAAATGTAAAATAAGTCTGGCATGATTGTTCATTTTTATATGACAGCGTTATTATAATTCAACTCATAATTAAATCTTTATGTTTTTCGAAGGACAGCCCAAATAGAGATTAAATAAACAGTAAAAGCCTACTGTTTGTCTAACCAAGTCACCAACAACACTTAACTACCCTATTAATTACATGATAGCAATACAATAACACATTCGAAAGGAACCCGTAGTCTACATATTTCACAGACTGGGCACATCAATAATTACCGTACATCACAACTATTTTACATATGCATCATGCCCAAGGATGGACATTGGAATTAATTTGCTAAATAAACACTTAAGTAAAGGAATGCTGGCCTGTGCCTAGTTCAAAGAATGTACACATAATATTATTAGATTTCATTTCCATAGCCTAAACGAAAAAGGTTTGCCTACATTAAAGCGAGAATTTCAAATTTTCTAAGAAAGTCAAAACATAATTATTTCTATGTCTTTTGCTCAATAGGTTATCAAATCACTATTATACGATCATGGGCATTATTTCCCACCCTTAAAGATCTATGACACAGGAAATAACAACACAATTAACTCCCCTGTTTTGCTATTGACACCATGGGGCAGCCATTTTCCAACGTTAGAATTTGAAGTTAAAAATGATATTTTTGCCAATTTCTCAGCTGGCAATAGCGAATTATAGGATTAATAGGATTATTCTTTAACAAGGTAGGACTGTTTATGGATACCATCTATTTTAAGGCTTTATTTTAATACATTTTGAAAATATAACTTGAAAATTTGCTATTGCAACTTTAAGGATAGGCACCTAATACTTGTCATGCATAATATTAAAATAATCTTGCCAACTTTGTGCCTCACTGCACATAAACGGCACCATGCACAATATTAACAAAGGAATAATCAAAGGAAAGGCTTGCCAGGGCTATGCATTTGTCAAGGAAAGAGCAAATATTTACGTGATATCACCCGAGAGCGATCGATAGAGAAGCGCGCTAGTCTACATTATGCATTATTCAAAGAATGGGTACAATTACATACATAACAATCAACAGAAAGGGTACATATTTAAATTAAATATTTGTTGGAAGAATAGGCACATACTTATTAATTAACATAACCATCCAAAGAAATGGTAACCTACCCTAACATTTTTCAAAAATGAGCACATCAGATATAGCACTACAAAAGAATTATTGAGTTTACTACAAGTACATGTAATATGATAGGAAGAATTACATCCCCACCCTTGCTGGGGATGTACTAAAATTATGATCTGATACCAGAGATTTATCAATGTCATTTTTTCCAGCCATTCACATATCGATACCAATATCCTACATAACTAAGTTGGGGAATTTTATATATGCTCTAACTGCATTGCTCTTCCATCTACCCAAGATTCTAATAGCATCCTGATAGTAACCTTTTATGAAAGCGGTGGTGGCAGCACCAATTCGAAACAAATGTAGCTTAATTTTTGAACTATCTGAACCCAAGAAGGACACCAGTCTACTTAAACTAGCATTAACAAAGGCATATGGGACAGGGGATTCGTCGATAAATTGAAATAATTGACCTGATGGATGGGGACAACTCTTTAAATAATCAAACAATAAACATACCGGACAAAATTTGGAGTTTACAATATTGCACTGACAGTGCAAAATTAATTTAACAGGTGATGATGATGACTTATGTTTAAAATTAAGCATGGTTATCTCTATATAAGATAAAACCTTATAATTAGTAAAGGAAAATTTTACGTTAGGAGTTTGGATGACATTACCAGCACATAATTTTGATTTTAAAACCAATTCTCCAATCCCGAAGAAGCCTGCAAAAGTATCCTGACTCAAACAGATGAGCAAGAAAATTAACAATGAACACATTTGGGAGAGGAAAAGTTGGGGACGAATTATTGCTAATACAGAAGGAAATAAACTTTGTCCAGGCCCTTAAATAGAATTCCTTTGATGAATTTGCCAAAGACGCATTTAGCAGCTGCAGAGCTGATGGAGTTATGTTCTCAAATACATTGGGTTCACCATCTGAGGGGTTGAATCCAACCATGGAGCCCATTCTCGTGCTTGCTGAAATTTGAAACGAGAAAGACAATCAGCAACCTTGTTAGATTTGCCAGCTACGTGCTTCGCCCTAATTAACACATTATACTTAATGGAAGCAGTTATTAATCGACGAACCAAGGACATTTGAACGTGGACTTGTTGATAACATATACAATGGCCTCATTATCAGTAAGCAATAAGACTTTGTGAATAGTCAACAAATGACCCCAGTGCTCCAAAGCTAACACAATGGGAAAAAGTTCAAGGACACTTATATTTAAAAGTTGCATGCCAGTATCAGAGCCAACCCAAATGTCATTCAAAAACATCCATCGACCATTAAACCCCTGCATAAACTGACTCCAGACTTTCAAATCAAGACGTGCAGCATTAGTTATTCTAATCATGTGATAAGATTTCTGGACACCCATTGTCAGGTCAAATAACCGACATAGAAAGGTTCTCCCTGGTACCACGACTAGGGTCGCAAAACTAAGTAAACCCAACAATGATTGTAACTCTTTTAACGACAGTTTTTTCTTTATCAAGGTATTATCTAGGGCCAAACGAATTCTGGAGACCTTATCATCTGGTAAACGGTACACCATGGAGACCGAGTCCACCTCTATACCATAAATTGTGATGTTTGTAGTGGGACGAACAGTTTTAGAGTGTTTAATGGGCACAGACAAGTAATTGGCAAGGTCAAGAAAGGACTGTAACGATGTCGCACACTGAATGGAATTGGTGGGTCAAATAAAAAAGAAATCGTCTATCAATCATGTGACTAACACTCGCGAAAAATTTATTTTCCATAAACCATTGTAAGGCGGAGCTAAACCGCTCAAAGGTTTGACAGCCACATCGGTAAGTACATGCCGACAAAGTAATGTAATGTTCCTTCATGGGAAATAGTGAATCCCAGCAAGTTATAATCATCTGGATGGATTGGAAGGAGGCGATAAGCATTTTGGATGTCGGCCTTTGCCATTAATGCCCCTCTACCCATTTGCTTAACCAAAGAAACTACATTATCAATAGAATCATACGAAACCTGTGTAAAGAACGGATCAATATCGGAATAATTTGAATTACCTACAGGACATGATAAATCGTGAATCAAACGATAAGACCCCGCCTCAAGCTTAGGGATAACACCCAAGGATGAGCATTTCAAATTTTTTAATGGTGGTGGGACCCATAACTCTCCCTGCTGATAATTCCTCATTCACCTTTGTAAAAAGAACATCAAGGTTTTGAAAACAAGAGGAATGATTCCTGGCTAAGTGAGATATACGAGGACCCTTGAAAGGGATGTGAAAACCTTGTGAAAAGCCTGTGCACAAAAATTGTTGTTCTGTGATATCATAGTCTTCCAATACCTTTTGTAGCCTACTAGGAATTACTGGGGTTGGGACCTTTGCTGGCGGGTAAACTATTTTTGCGAAATGAATACTGGTTAGCCTGGACTGGAGGGTTTTTGATGCATGCCTAAAAGGTTGAGGATGGGAGCTAACTGTTTGAGCAGGAAGGTGTGAAGAGGGCTTACCTACATTATGAATTTGAGCTGATGTCACAGTTGCGAAGAGGAATGAGGTGGTAAGGTGTTTTGACCCAAACTGGGTGTTGCAGCAAATGAACTATGAGAAAAAAATTTTGGTACAGGGTGAGAGTTGCGATTCCCTGCATAACACTGCATCTGGGGATGGGCAGCTCCACATTTCATGCATTTGTGGGGATAGATACAGTTCCGATAACGACAACCCAAAGGCCTATTAAAAGATCAACAAATTCCCTCTCGGAATCCTGAAGTGGCCTGACGTGTTGTAGGAACTTATGGTCCATGCAGGGTACTTGCCCTAAGCCAAAGATCACCGTTGATTTTATCCCAAGCATAGGGAAATGACTGGCGAAGACGCCTAAATTGGGAATCATAAAAATTAAAAGATTTCGTGCCATAGGTCTGTGCCAGCTCAGTCATCAAGGACAAATACGTTAATAATACAGAAGTAGAGTCTGGCACCCTCTGAATGTAAATATCCATAAATACGGAAAAAGTCCGCTGCCTATGCGAAAAAGTCAGAGTTTTTGATCTTGGCGTTGACGATATCTTCAAAACCGGCTCATCCTCTGTGTCCTGTATGTCTGGCGATAAACGATCTGGTAAGGAATCTGGCAGCAATTGACAGAAATCAACATAAGTATTAGACCAAATCATGGCTTTAAGTTTGTTGGGAACGTGTCGAGAAATGTGACTTACGGGATGTCTACCTGTGTCCCTGGCGGGCTGAGTTCCAAACAAATTGGCAGCATTCACTGAGAACACATCCAATCCAGCGGTGGTTGCTGCATTGGCCGAAGTACTTGATGAGGTAGTAGCAGTCGAGGTCAATTCTGTGGTAGTGTCGAGAAATGTGACTTACGGGATGTCTACCTGTGTCCCTGGCGGGCTGAGTTCCAAACAAATTGGCATCATTCACTGAGAACACATCCAATCCAGGGGTGGTTGCTGCATTGGCCGAAGTACTTGCTGAGGTAGTAGCAGTCGAGGTCAATTCTGTGATACCTCCTCTTCACTGGAGCTTTGAGTATCTTGGACCGGTAACTTTCGCTTCGGCATGACGCAATCTCTGAAAAAAAAGGGGGGTGATATACAGTTATCCGAACAGGGATAAAAATAGATATCCGAAAATGGATTGAATTAGATCCAAACCTGGAAGAGATTAAATCCTAAACCTGGATCCAAACCTGGATGGGGCTAGAGATTCATGCAT